TTTCAAACTCATGCTCTGCAGTGAAACATTGTTCACAATCACAGAACCTTATTCTGAATCCTAGTGGGAATCCCAAAATCTCTAAAGACACGGAGTATGTCAGGAAAAAAGACTGCAGCTACACTAGCTGTTCTGTGACTATATCTGCCCATACAGAAATGTAATATATGACATATATGTCCCTATGTCAAGAGTGATGTTACCACAATAAACCTATAAAACATAGGCTATGTCTAAAATATAAACATACATACATACATAAACATACATATTTGTTATGGGCTAGACATATCTGCCAATATGTGGAATTGTTCCAGTTTTTAATAGGTTTCATATATAAAATATAAAATATGTGTTTGTACATATATTTCATATATGGAAATTCAGTATATGTTCATATATTACATTTGTGTATGGGTCAGGCTGATTGGAATCTCATTAGTTTTGATATTTGGTCATAAACCAAAGTATAGACCATATTCACACGGTGGTCATTTTCCTCTGATCTCACACTGAGGGTGGGAAGCCTCGGACACTTTAATGTCTCTGAATAAATCCTGCGTGAGAAAGCCGAGATGGTTGAAAAACCTGACTTGTTTACCTTCACCTTCCTTTGACTACATTGATAAATGGGCAGATGAATTTGCCAGATGTTGAAGGTAAGACCGGCCCACGTGGGAAACATTGTAAGCTAATGCTAGGCTAGCAAATGAAGTTTGCAATTGACATAAATGTCAATTTTAGCTCTACTAAAGCTGTCACATGTAAAATTAATCCACTGGCTTGTGCAAACGTTAAACATTAACTAATGTTATATAGTTTCATTATCAACCTACATCAATGATACAATAATATGACAGTGGAGCACTGCTAATTTAACCAGGTAGAAAGATAGCAGGGCAGCTAATGCTACATTGCAAGCTTGATTACATCCAGTGTGTTTTACTTCCAGGCTTAATAACCATGTCTGATATATGCGATGATATTTCAGAATTAATTTATTTTTTTCCTAATGTATCAGGAAACACTATCAAACAGTAACGTTTGCTAAGAAGTGGTTTAATGCTAACGTTAGCTGTTTTCTAACAGTAACTAATGGGTTATCAAATATATTGTTTTACTTTGAAACATGGGTCGATGTCTCTTCGGATTTTCAATACCCATTGTCTTTTCTGTTACTCATCGATTGGGAAACGGTCAAATAGAAACGATTTGTCAGAATCTCTATGTTTATGTGACTTGCAACCTGGAACACAGCAGTACAACATTATTCTTTCAGTGACAGTATTTGAGCTTCCCACCCTCAGCGTGACATCAGAGGAAAATGGCCACTGTGTGAATATGGTCTATTGGACAAAATAAAAGTCTGACCTAATAGTACAGCTAGATTAGAGTTAAGGCATCATCAAGTGTTTCATGGCAACTCATCTAATAGTTGGACATTTTAAATGTCAATTTCACGCTGGTGCTAAACGAAAAGCTTCATCCTCTGTACAAAATTTCATGGCAGTTCATTTAATTGATGTTAAGCTAATTCATTTTGGACCAAACTAAGTGATGGATGACTGTTCATCCCTAGAGCAATCCTGTTAGCATGGCAGGTACTCTAAAATTATATATTCACATTTGAAGTGCTAACAGCCAAGCTCTATCCTTTATTGATGTGAGGTATGGATAATGAAAAGTGCTGCCATGAGGAGGTCTAGGACATTATCCCTCATCTGTCAGTAGACTGCTGTATTTTCTTTATAAAGACAGAAATTCCTGTATATGAGAGTCAGGAGCAAAACACTGATCAAAGTTGTTTCAGTGAGATTCCAGATGCAGTTAAGAGCTTTGTGAGGGAACTCAGAGCAAATCTCATCTATTAGTAATGAGGTTTAGGGTGGACCAGAGTGTATCTGCAGAGCTTTGTGCAGGGCTCCGAGTGACTGTGCACTGCTGCATTACTCCACAGCATGCACGCCACTCCCTCCTCCTCTCTGGATTCCTTCTGGCTTTGCTTAATAATGTTGAGTTATAAGGTGGGAGGGAGAGACACCTCCCTTGCTCCTGGAGCTCTTGGCGCTCACGCTTACAGCTCGTTTTTTTTTTTTTTTTTGCTTTGAAGATGAAAGGTGGAGCTGATCACATCCACTCGGGCTGTAAAGTTATATCCTTCCTCTCAAATTTATGGGGTGGAGTTATTTTAGTGCCGGGTCAGCAGAGGCATGTAGTTTGAAACTTTCTTATAAAATAAGGCCTCTCATCCAATTATGTTGATTTTAAACTCTGACAATTATAAATACTGACATCAGGCATATTCTGCTCAGATTATGACTGTTTGATAAATACTGAGCATAGGAGTTGATAGAGAAGTACAATTTGTAGTTTTAAAGTTTCTGTGGATATTTTGACTTTTATTTTCTGCCATGAAAACTTTTGTCAGACTCCACTGTTACTGAGATGAATTCAGTCTAACCCCAGGCGCTGTCCTCTGTGAAGGAGCTGAGTTTGGGTGGAGAACCACTTTGTCATGTTCACAGACACTAATTAGAAGTATGTAACATCCAGTTTCACCTTCTTCTTCCCTAAACAGCTGTCCTCAGTGTGTGGACAGAGCGCACACACACACACACACACACACACACACACACACACAAACACACTCATGGTTGCATAACGTGATGTGTGATAGTGCTGGTGGCAGTTATCGGCTGGCTGGTGCTGCTGTGCGCGGAGCTCTGGGTCTGATCTGTCTGACATCAGATAAACACGACGTCAAGGCTCACGTGTACAGTGGGAGAGGGAGCTCATGTTGTTGGAAGCAGAGATGTGCTGCTCTCACATGCTGCACTTAGTCTACATTTCTGCCAGCGGCAGACACCGGCTTGGCACCATTGTTCCTCTGTTTATCTGAGAGCCTGTGTTTAAATAATATCATAATGGATGTCACCAAACTCTGCGTCTTTTTAAAAAAATAGAGTTTTGTATTAAGGAAGGACATTTTAACTTGAATCCACACAACTGTAGTGTAAATAAATGATCTTTCCACACCTACTCTGGTGGTTTTAAAGAGTCAGCAGCAACCACAACAAGTGTTCGACTTGTTCCAGTGAGAAACATAAGTTTTAATGTCAGTAAATGATAGCTACCGTCCAAAGAAAAAACTGTCCAGCAGCTGGTGTGTTATTCCCAGGGCTCGCTGCCTCTGAATTGCAGGATTCTTATGCATCTGTGAACGAAGGCATGGGAACAGTGAACAGATGTTCATCATTAGCACAGGGAGAACATGAAGCCTCTGTCCCCTCATTTCTGGTGACTAGATAGCAGCAAATTCAAACATCTACCTCAATTAAGGCCTGACAGGAAAATGTACGAGGCTGTGGCTGGTTATCGTGGGTAACAAGGTAAGTGGTTGTGTTTTTAAACGACAACATTTTACAGTGGATGTCATTAACCCTGCGACAAAGACAGATGCTGAGCGTTAACTGCTGGAAAGCACGAGAACATGTAAGTGACAGTAAAATGCCAACACCTCTTTTACTGCAAAATACTGACAAAAAAATCTCCCATCAAGGCCCACTTACTCACTTGTTCTGGAGCTTTTAACCAGATCATGTTGTCTTCATCAGCAGATGAAATTTGCTCAGTTGTCATTGAAAAATTCAAAAAACATTTTTCAGACCTCTGGAGAAACTGTCAGTCCTCGTAAAAACTGAGCAGCTTCATCTGCTGATGAAGACCCTGTCATGAATCGCGACACTTCAGAAGAAGCGAGTAAGTGGACCTTGAGTAAAGTTGCTTGGATGTTTTCACTTAATTTTTATTTGGAACAAAAGATACAGTTGTACACATTATACAGCATAATTAGTTTTTTACTATGTTCCTCTTTTTAACATTCAAAGCCAAGAAAATGAAAATAATAATAAAAAACATATTCTTGCATACAAGTCACACATACAGTAGATGTGTTTACATTTACACTCACTAAAACCCATCTACATGTGTAAATAAATACATTTAAGGCTAAAGGAACTAAGGAGAGGCATAAGTAAAATAAATAAATAAAAAGGTGGAGGGATCTTGCTGCAGACATTTAATTGTGCCACTTTTTACCTCATTTATGGAGAAAAAAAATCTGAATAACAGATGATAGCTTAAGGACCAAAAGGGAATTCATATAGTCTTATTAGTTTAGTTAAAATCAGAAACAGTGATACATTCTCAACCCAGGATTCACAGCAGCATTGAAATGTATTGACTTCAGAGAATTTTACAAATTCCATCTACTGATGAAAACCATAGAATACATAATGTCTGGGAGCTCCTGAACAAGCAAGTAAGTGGACCTTGAGTGAAGTTGCTCATGATGTTATGAAGACTAAGAATTTCTCTAGATGTCCAAACAAGTTGTTAATATAATGGAAGTTTAATAACAACTGAGCAAATGAGAGACATGCTGCATGTTAAAAGCCCCAGAATAAGAAAGTAAGTGTACTTTGAGAAGATTTTTTTTTGTTGCTGTGTTGAAGGTCAAGAATGAACTATTGAGAGCTCAAATTCATAATTATTTAGCTGTACAGTAGCCCTGCAGTTTTCAGACCAATCTGGAAGTTTAGCACGTCTTTGTACACAAGCTGCATTTTTCACTTATCAGACTGAACACGACTCATTTTCTTCCGTCTATGCAGACGATAAGAGGAACAAAGAAAGCGTGATTTTACCATTATTATGACTTTGCTGAACACTTTTCTCCTGGACGCCGAGCATGAGGCCTTATCTGAAGACAAGCAGCCATTATGGGCTTTAAGAACAAGTTTCTAATCTCTGGGCTGCATGTTTGAAGACACTAAACTTTATCATGGAGAAAAGAAGAAAAAGCAACTTTTCACTGTTTAAAATTTCTTTAATGGTTCAGTTGGTATAGGATTTGGAAGCATTAAGTCAAGACATGGTCAGCAGCCATACAAAACAAAACCAACTAATCAATGAGAGGAAAATAAAGTACAAAGGAAAAAAAAAAAAAAACCCTAAAAGAAAAAAGAAAAAAAAGAAAAAGAAAAGGACAATTAGGCAACGTCAGGTCATCACAGTAAAAAGATACATCAACCCTAGTCAAACTCAACAGCATGCTGACAATCAAAACTGGTAGCAAGTTCAGTGATGGTCACACACACTTCAACACACACACATTCTCTCACACACACATTCTCTCTCTCTCTCTCACACACACACACACACACACGCACACACACGCACACACACGCACACACACACACACACAACTTGAATGAAGGCTGTAGAACAACCCTGATAGGTAAAATGTACAGTAAGACACCTTTTAGAGAAAAACAAAACAAACAAAAAAAACAAAACAATGCATAGACAAATAAAGAATGCTTTAAAATAAAAGTAAACATAAAAAGACAAATTTCTTTGTCATAGGCGGACAGCATGACGGGTCTGTTGGCCGTTTACATTGCGATGATTGTTGAGGACATTCAAATAAAAATTATTGCCAACAAGACATAATGGATAACACCCATACAAAAAATGATTTTTTTTTTTCTGAAACATTTTAAAAGAGCTAGTAGCTTCCACAAATGTCAAGAATGTACAAACAATGGTCATTGTGGCAAGGCTTCAAAGATCCTCAGCTCCACTTGAATGAACATTATAAACCACGAGGCAGACATGCTTGGCTTTTAAACGTTTAAACAATTATTTTAAGTTATACAAGTTAACAAACTGTATTTAAAACACATTAAATATTGAGCATGTCACTAGAAAAACATGTTGGCTGTTAACAAATATCCATTTGAGTTATTCCAGTTGAGTCAATAAACACAGAAGATATTTTTTTTGAAATCACCAAAGGAATAAAAACATGGTGACAAAGTTGTCTTTTCTCCATTGAACCAAACATAGAATCTCTGCGCTAAATATCAAAAGGATTTTTTTGCAAATATCCAATTGATAATAGTGCAAGAGATACAGTACAGTCAGAGATAGCACACAGCTCTTATGTTTGGCTTCACATGTTTAGTTCCAGGTAGTTAGAAATTAGAGTTTGTATGATTTTAGTGTGAACAAAGAGCCACTGCTGAGCTGATGATACTGAAGAGTGACTCATGTTAGGCTTTAACTATCTACTGGTTCTCCATCTTTAATGATGCGTTGGAGGAACAGGGAGTCAATTCAGTAAACAATAAATTACAACTACAACTTGTCTCTTATCAATTTTCTTAATCAATATGTTAATTTTATCTTACAGATAAAAAAAAAACAACAAAAATACAATTGACACAATCAAATCATTATTGTATTTTCCCCAACTATCTGTACAATAAAAAAAAAAAAAAAAAAAGGTTTTACATGTCACAATAACCCAAAACAAAAGTGGTATTTGTTTGGGGAGAATGTGTACACCTGTGTTTCATGTGAGTATGTCTGCTAGTGTCTTTAATTCTTAACACTTTCCTCATGGGGAAAGCATTGCTGCACTCTCAACAGCCTATGGTTCAAAATAAAGCAGCAGAGGAAACGAGTGGGGCCTCATTTGTAACAATTGAGTACGCTCAAAAAAATACCCTCACCTTAACGCAGAAATCCCATCGAGCATGTCACAAGCCTCATTATCCTGCCCTGTTAACTCCCATAATTAAACATGAATGATTAATGACAGGCCTGTTGTGAGTGCTAATACACACATCAGTCAGTTTGTCATTCAAGTCAGACTACAAATTTCAACGAGAAATATTACACCGTGTAAAATGTTGCAGATCTTGAGCCGCATCGCCTAAGTGTTTTGTTTTTGTCACAGCTGCAGTGAGCCGTGCAGGATCTGAAAGCCAAATTATTCTGAAAGGAAGATATCAGTTGGTTAAGCAAAAACAGGCAGAGGTGAGAGGTCGGAGTTCACCGGAGCTCACTTCACTTCACCTCATAAGTGTGTCTGGGTTGTACAACTGATGCAAGTGGAAAAACAGGCTTTAATTAGATGTTAAGTGAAATGCATCGTCTGGGAGGATTTTATTGTACATTTTACTTTGACGTTCCCCTATTAGAGATTTATCGGTAGAAAACATTTAACATGATTTATAAAACACTATAATGGAGTTGTAGGCCGCTATAAGGACATTTTTAAGTTTTTATTAATGTACAGTGTTTGTTAACAATTACAACCTCCTATAAGGTCAGCTGCGGTTTACTATATTGTCATTCATTATCTGTTTATACGGAAGCCAATTATCATCCATTTATCCATCCATCAGGAGGAGTTAAAGTGGTGACAAACGCATTAACAAACCTCAGCGCTGCTTACAAATACATTATAGTGTGTTATAAACCATTTATTAAATGTTTGTTAATTCTAAATCAAGGGACATAAAGTAAAGTGTTTATGAATTTATTTTACAGACTTGCCTTCAGCATGCAGGTTTCCAGCAAACGTGTGGCCACTCTCCAGAAACACCTGTATCTCTAAATCCCAACATCTGCGTGGGAGATGGTGAACGCATCTTTCACACTTGTTCTTTATGCACACAAACTGTTTAGAAATGAGGCCCCTGGTGTGACAGAATACAGAAGCCTTTATAACACGACAGCTAAATCAAAAACAATTTCAGCCCCGTTAGGGGAAGCAGAAATAATTAAAATCTCTCCCCTAACACGATCAGTCATCACACTCACTGCTTGACCACAACTATATTTCTCTTTGCTTCAATCAGCTGCTGACTGGTCGATTCCTCCAGTGACCACAGCAGATAAAACACGTAACACTGCCTAAAGTCTCAACACAGACAAGATAATACAAAACAAAACCAACCCTCCCCCATCAAAAAAACAAAAACAAAACTACATTTGATATTCATCCACACAATCTGTGAGTGTTTTCACTGACTGCCTTGTTGCCAAGGCTTCAACCCACAGTGACCCACTTGAGTGCATCTCAGGTAATGGTGTGCCAGCTTGTGTGAGGAGGAGTCGGGGTGGAAAAGGCTGGGGGAGAGTGAGGCGGCCACCTCCTGGTGTCTCTTCCCCACCTCTTCTGTCCCATCCTGGTGCCCCCTCCTCTCCTGAGCTCATCAGTGTCGTGTTTGTGGAGTTTGGGATGCTGTGGATCACGTGCAGGGCGGTATGGGGGTGGGGTGGGATGCAGTGGGGTGGGATGGGGCCCAGGGTCACTGTCGCCGATCCTCCGTCTCTGACCGTGAGAACGCCATCACCACGTCCTCAGCACCTGAGAACCCACAGCAGATTGTCAGATAAACCTCCTGAATCAATTACAATTAAAAACGCAGATCACGACTACACTGATGTTTGTATGACATGCTCTTCTGCCGCAGCTGAAAACATCATAAATTATTGAACACCGAGGAGAATCTGTAATTCACTGTATCTGTTGCAGCTGTTGGGAATGAAGGTTTTTTAAGGACAAGTAAAAGTTACTTTCAGGTTCTTCTAAAGGACAAACTGTTTCAAAACATAAACCAACATCCAGTAAATGTATCACCTCTTACTGACAGACTATTTAAAGTGTCAAAAAGGAAAAAAAATCCAGACATAAAGTAGAAATCAACTGACAACTTGACTTAAATTCCAGTTGATTTACTGGATCTGGAAGTATGACGTGTAAATGTCGAGCTCAGAGAAGTGATTTTTACTTTTCTGACTAAGTGGAAATGTGTCATCTGTTTGCTTCATGTCGATACTGGGTGTGAGCTGCAGTGGGCAGTTTTGTGTCCACACTGATTAAAGTCTAAATGTAAGAGCACCTGCTGACCAATACACTTACAGAAACACGCAAAAGACATTATATACATCAAGATATATCCACGTGTACAATTCCCTCCTGTACTGAAATGTAGGAGCAATCAACTGCGATCGGACACACACACACACACACACATTTGGTCTCGATCGTGTGGCTTCAGAAGAGGACTCTGTCTTGACGCATTGTGTGAGTGGAGTCATGTTTTCTACAGGTCCTTGGATCCTGTCGGTATCCTGTAAATCCTGTCAGCCGTGACTGTAAAGCTGAGAGGGAATATGCAGCCATGAAAATCCTTTTGGTGCATGCAGGTAATTTCAAATATTGCCATGTTCACCTGCTGCAAAGCCACTGCCTAACATCCCCGCACCCTGACAGCAGATACTGTGGCACATTGAGCGGCCCCGGTGACAGCAGCATCTACTCTGCCATGACAACAACACCCATTCGATCTCCTCTGCTGCTGCAGCTCTGGCCGTCTGTGAGTAAACCATACTGGATTTCAGCTTTTCATATTGACCTCACTAAAATGTGGGAAAGAATCAATAGGCACAAAGAAGAGAGGCTGAAATGATTTAAAGTACACACAGTCTGATTTCTTTCCATTCTTTTTATGCCTCTTTCTCTTTTACCCAGTTAACAAGGACCAAATGATAATTACAGCCTCATCTCGGTTGAGTCAACTAAATGATCCTGCCAGCTACACAATAGGACTTAGTCAGCTGGCTTTTGTTTAATAAGCAATCATTCATTAGTCTGTTGCCAACTGTGTTTAATCAGATCGTTTGGGCCTGCCCACACCTGCTGGGACAGTCTCTCTCTGATAAATGAATATACACTTTCAACTTCTATTAGAGTAAGGGCAAATAAAATTACACAATGTTCTTTCAGCGACTCATATATCCAACTGTTCTTTCACATAGGCCTAATGTTTTTGGCAAGAACTCGTTTTAATTTGAGCAATTCACCCTCCATAAGAGAGAGAGAGAGAGAGAGGGGGAGGGATAAAACGTCTTCAGCCAGATGAAGTAGGAAAGTATTAAAATCCCTCTTGCACTGTCATGCTCGGCAGCCTGGTGAAATGCATTTGCTGCTTGGTAATGGAAGCAAATTGACTGTGAAATATATAAGAACATAAAGTACATACAGCAACATTTCTAGTCTCCTCTAACCCTTAATTAAAAAAAAAAGCGTCTCTTAAAGTTGAGCAGGCCAAATGAAAAGTGGGTGCTGACACCAACAGTGAGCTTGATCACATAGTGAGATAAAAACATCTGACAAGCTACAATCACATAAATATCATTAACACCAAGTTCCACACCTTTGCAGACGGTCGAGAAGAATTCCTGTCGGCACCTCGTGCCTGTCTGCTATAAAAAGACTTTTTTTCTGTGCAGCCCCAAGTGCTTGTTAGATTTAATTATTGTGGAGATATGAAAGTAGGCCAGGGACTGTGAGCTTCCACATGTATTTGGCACAAGGGGCGGACCCTCCTCATCAGACAGCACAGACCCTCGAAACTGAATTTTTTTTGTCTTTATCTCTAGTGTGAAGATAATTAGCATGTTTCTATGCTGCATTCAGGTCATCGTGAGTTTGGTAAAATCAAGACTTTTGGGGGAGGTCTCTTTTAAAATGAACTTTCAAGTTCCCCTTCCCGTGGGAGCTCGCTGGCCGACCAAATAAGGTTTTGGCAAAGACAAAGCCAGTCGGCAAAAGCAGCACCAGGAGAGGAAACTACAGACAGAGTGATGAAGGAAAATATTGTCAGACACATGCTGTTAGGCTTCAGTTCATAACATAAACCTCATCTGCATGGTGACAGTATGTTGGGATAATCATGCTTGAACAAGAGACAATTACGTAATAGCACACAATAGGAAACTTGACCTGATTTACACTACTGCTGAATAGCACTGCTGTTCGAGAAGATGTTTTGGCACAAGACCTTGTAAAAACAGCCATTTGTCTGTATAAATGTCAGTCTGAATGATTTTGTGGCTGTGTGAAGGAGTTCACCCTTGTGTAACGGGCAGTTCAGAGGACGGACATGTCAGACATTGCGCAACTTGAGCCCAATGACCAGCAGAATCACTCTCAAAATACACCCACAGAGCCGAGAGAATGGCTGGGCTATATCTGTTTTACTTGAGTGTGTTGCCTGAGAGTCATGTTCGGACCTCGCCCTGCCACAAACACACACATGGTTATACAATACACACACACACAAATACACACATACACACATGTAAGATCTAGCCAACACGATGGAAACATGAGGTCCCTCAAAGCTGTTGCCTAGCGACAGATAAAAATCAGACTGCATCAGTGGATGGCAGGCTGCTGCTCCTGCTGCTGCCTATGAGCAAACAGCTTCTGGTTTGTTTCAATGCAGCTCAGCGTCTGGCTGCTCCCTGGCCCCTCCCTCCACTGTGCACTGATCCCTCACCTCACCCTGCACGGTGGAGCTAAACAGAGCAGCTCCGGACGGTGGATTACATAAATAACAGCAACAACAGCTATGTCATCCAATTTGTCCTCCATAAATACTTTGAACGAAAGAAAAGCCCCCTCATTCATAACAGAAATAGTCTTTCCAGAAAAAGAACATGGAGGAAAGAGGGTAAGTATTTCAACACAGAGTAAAAGTCAAGAAATCAGGGAGAAACATGACAGTCTCAGACTGAAATACTAGAACTATTTGAACTATTTGAGTGACAGACAATCTTGGTCATTGAAAAATTCATGAAAAAGTCATTTATCAAGCAAAAATTCCTGGTTCCTGCTTCTCAAATGTGAGAATTTGCTGCTTTTATCTGTTTTATTTAATTGTAAATTGAATATTGTTGGTTGTGTTCTCTTAGTCAGAAAAGCTTTACCTTGGGATCTGGTACTTTACCTGATGCTTTTCTGACATTTTATGTACAAAGCAATGAATCAATTAACCAAAAAACCAATCAAAAGCAGACAGAAGTCTCTCTTCACACACTGAGAGACTATAGATCAATATGTGGTTGAGAAAAGGTAGAAAAAAAACCCACACATAGTTCCACTGAAACCTCTCAGGATGTGAAAGCTGTGAAATGAACCCAAAGGCAGCTTGTTTGAAGTTAAAGTCCCTCCGCACTGAATGAGCAGAAAAGCAGCCATGATGACTCCAGTGTTGCAGTGATCAAGCTCTGAGTTATTAGTCAGAGCAGCAACAGCATGTGAGGTCACAATCTGTCCAGGGTCAGCTGAGAGGATAAAGACATAGGACCACCCCCCAAACAATCTCTCTCTCTCTCTCTCTATCACTCACACACACACACACACACACACACACGCACACACACACACACACACACACGCACACACACACACACACACACACGCACACACACACACACACACACACGCACACACACACACACACACACACGCACACACACACACACACACACACGCACACACACACACACACACACACGCACACACACACACACACACACACGCACACACACACACACACACACACGCACACACACACACACACACACACGCACACACACACACACACACACACGCACACACACACACACACACACACGCACACACACACACACACACACACGCACACACAGAGAGAAAACGACAGCAGGGGCGGGTTTAAGAAGCCCGATACACAACAGGGGTGTGTGTGGTCCAGCTCAATATGTTGACATCAACAAACACAGCGGGTCTACTTTAACACAGCAAGTGCCATTAATGAATGATTGGCTATTTCAGGGTAACATAACTGCACTCTACGAGCAAATTATTCAAGTATAAAGTCCTTTCTCTTATCTTATTCTTCAGTTAAGTCAGTTAAAAGAAAATGAAATGAATTAAATTTATGGTTACTATTACTTCTTTTCCTTCTTTCTTTCCAATTATCCTGGGCTCACATGAATATTATACAGGGATTTAAGTTCAGACTTGTGCACCGCTTACTAATGCTTGATTATTGTTGTGATGACATTTTACATTACACTACCATTAGAACCAGGCTCATTAAAAGTTTAGAAAATAGAGACTGAGAATTGGAGTGTGTTTGTCTTTTCCACTGGATGCAGAAAGGCAGTCAGCCACATGTCTATCATAGCATTACAAAATATGAGAAAAGTTGATAAAAACAAAACAAATTGTAATGAACTATACAGGATATGAGATGCAAATTAGGTAATAATGCAGCAGATTTTTAGGGAGCAGGTTCAGAATGCAAAATGAGTTTGGTTAAACTTTTAGTTTCTGTTTCCAATTGAGCAGAGAATAGCAGAAAGAGAAAATGGCTGATCCAGCAAATCTGAGTTGGAAGCAATTGTTGTACAACTACCGTATAACATCTGTCTACACAACCTCAAACCTACTGACACATTTGAAACAGAGAGGAGAAAATCAGACCTCTGTCTTTCAGCAAGTTGAGTCAGGTAGACGTGGTGGTTCATAAATCTGAGTGTCTGGCTCTGATTCATGCTGCAGTGAAGAGCAGGATAAAGTAAGAATCAATACCACTCTGCCCCAGCTGAGCCGCCAAACAAAGGCGGGTCCGTGCGCTGTGTCACTGTGCTTTCCCTTGAAAAGGCAGGTTTAAGGATTGCATGATACCGGGACCGTATCACAGACAAGAAACAAGATTGTATATTGATTGCTCAGGGCTGTTGTAATATCTGAAATGAGAAAGGCCATATTTTTGTAAGCATGGATGGGACTGACAGAGAGAGATTGGAATATCACACTCTGACTGTGTAATTAGCACTCCAGCTTGCCTCCAGGCCCCCTAATGACACCTGCTCCGATCTACCGAAGCAGCACGTCGCAACAACACCAAAGCCCACAGGGAAGCTCCGCTTTCCTGGGACAACTGGGGTTGCTATGGCAACCCTTCCTCGTCTCTCCTCTTTTGTTGAGGCCTCAGACGTCCTTCTGGGAGGAGTAAACTTTCTCCGTCAAATCAGACAAGATAACAAGTTCTGAGGCGATTGGCTTTATGCGAAGCTCTGACAAACTCTATTGTTTTAAGTGACATGATGTCAGTTAGAGAAAGCCGTGAATGGAAGAGTTAAAGGAAGGAGAATAACAGCCTGCTTGTTAAGACAAAACCAATATATTCCCCATAGTATGCTGTAACTACTGTGCTGCAGAAAACTCTCTGCACCAGAGTGACACAGTTATTATTCAGTATACCCCAAAAAGGAGCAATTTACACTGAAACAAAGCCATCCAAAAACCCAGGCCTCACTTAATGAGTTCACACTTCATTTCCAATCATAATAACAGCGTTTAAACATAGCATGTTTAGTCCTGCTCGCCCACAAACCTCTGCTTCTCTGTGCCGCCAAAATTCAGCTACATGAAGGTATTCACAAAGCTGAGTGGAGGAAAAGAAAAGAAAAAGAAAAACATTCACAGCTCCACCGCCTTTGGCAGAGAATTCCTCTTTGGCCTGATTAAAATTGCAAAACTAAATTCTGTATTTGCATGTATGGTAATCAGCCAATTAAAACTATCTGAAATGCAAATTCAGTGACCCATAGACTTAAAAGAAATATGAGTGGCAACCCCCGAGTTGGTTTTCACTTGTTCCTTACAAGGAAGAAAACAAGAGAACATTTGACAGCTAAGGAGAGTTTGAGAGAAAGATTCAAGGTCTGATCAGATGTGAGGATGGATGACAATGTTTCTGGACAGATTAGACTGCAACACCTACAAATTTGTTTTCTTATCAGAATATGTTAAGCTGCAACAACAGCAATGATGTAATCCATTTGTAACATCAGCTTCTCGCACCTACACTCCTATTTAACATTTCCTGAATGCAGTCTGGCCTTGACTGAGAATAATCAATATCTGAGTGTGTCTCCACTACGCCATTGTGCCCTCAACGCCCTCTAAGTAGCCACCATTCGATCGATGACGCCATGTCTGACACACGATACTATCGCTCCACGCAGAGACCCCTTGAGGACACTGGTATCAAGGCATCCTGCATCAGCATGTTCAAACTATGTTCAGCTTCACATCGCAGGGGGTGGATATTGTGGCTGAATCGGTTTAGTTTCTTACTCCCAGCCGGAGAGATAACTCTCTCTAAGACAATGATAGGAACTTTTATGCTGTTGCTGGCTGGACCACATCATATACTTGTTTGCTATCTCAGTCTGAATGTGTGCTGAAGGTTACATCCGTGGCAAAAACTGGAGCATCAAAATGTGCTTTGCAGCTTTGGAAAAAAAAAAGCTTCAAAAAAAGTATATAAGTCAGCTGTGCAGCCATGTCTGCTGCAGATACTGACCCAATCGGTATGAGTTCTGAAGGTAGAGCTGCTGGGAACAGGTATACCAATGATACAAGATCAGACACAGACAAACAACTCTGCCTGGAAAACTGCTGACCAGTCACAGAAGGTGTCCGCGTGGCTACTGGGACAGGCCGTGGTCCTACTGCATATAGCAGGATGCGGGAAAAGGTCTGCTGTCATTGTAATGAAGTGAGCACAGGGTGAAGCACAGAGAGTGCAACCTGATTTATCTCCACACCCGTCTGGCACAGACATGCAAGATTTAACCAGTACAATTAACAGATTGAACTTCAATTCAATTGTGTGAATGTCCCCCCCCCCCATCTTCATGAATAGATTTCCCACAGTATCATTTATTCTATTCTATTCTTTTATATTCGATTCGTAAAACAAAATTACCTTGTATTATGTCACACTGGTAATTTGTTGTTTGAAGTCTGTGCCTCTGTAAAATGACACTTTTAAGAGGCACAATGACTATGCACGTTGCCAGGCAATAAAACGTTTCCTTTCATCTATCTTTTTTACCATATTACCAAGTCTAAATGAGATCAAATAGTGGGCTTCCCTCCTCATGTAACTGAACCTCTTCACACCACCTCAAAGGATCCCAAATGTGCTGATACTTACAAACTGCTGTCCTTCAGTGCAGTGTTGAATATTTAAAAGTGATTAACTCTCAGCTATCTCCACAATGCCTAATCACAGTACTTTAGACAAGATGCAGACCACAAATAATTTATTGCCACACCGAAGAGGTGGCAGGCTGCCGGATGACACTAAATGTGTCTGTTTCTGTGATGTATAATGTATACTCGGAGCACCTTTAACTAGTCATATTCCTCCATAATTAATGAGGCTCTTCGTAGCTGTATTGACGCAGCAAAGACGTGGAGTACTGTATCTACTAAAGGGCATGAAGAAAAAGAACGAGGCCAGGCAGCACAAACTGACAGCCAGTCTGCAGTCGTTCAGAAAATATCCTTCCTAAATTAATGATTTAAGAAAATCAGTACTGATCTCACATTTGGGCACAGTATTTTTTAAGATGTGACGCTGTCCGTCCTGTCCGATGCAATGCTTTATATTCTGCCTCTCTCTGAAGAAACACATTTTAATAATGAAATCTGTCTCTGATGCAATGATCCACATTCAAATTTTGATGATGCACCCCATACTGCAGAATGGGCCTGAATTTAACAAAATACAACAATGTAGTTTAATAGCCTGCAGGCTAAAAAAGAAAACACCAGAGAAGGACAAAAAGACAAAGTCACTGCGCCTGTTACTTGCCTCCTTAATACCTTATATAATCATGAACCTAATCCTTCTTCATCACAGAAAATCACATATTTATCTTTTTTTCAAACACTGATTGTTTTCTTGTAGCGAAAGGACACAGATATGGAGACATAACACTTCACTAAAGGTAAAGTGTCGCAGCCAATCTTCCAGACTTAAAGCTCCCTTGAGGGGCCAATATCATATAGGACAAAGCAAAACCTGAGCCCCAGCAGGTTTTACCACAGTAGGACAGCAGGGCTCCTACATGACCGCTGTGTTTGGACTGCAACTGGAAAGCAGCTGCTAGTCTACTTACAAAAAGAAATAAACAAAATAATTACAATTTGCTGCTACTCCATCAGGTAACTGCAGTGCCTCTCCACATGTACTACTTTTTAAAAAAAAATCTAGCACCCTCTTGTGGTTTAAACGTACGGAAACTGTTCAGGAGCTAAACAAAGCTCAACAGCGCTCTCCAGTGCCCTGAAAAAGCACGAGCAGCATATGCAAGGTCATATTATTAAGCAAACCCCAAGTCTCACAACAACACGCACGGGTTAAAGTTACGGTTAGTGATATGCTTTCACAAATAAACACCACAATTTTTAAACGTGGTTCTCTATTTAGGCCACTTGTGAGAAGCAGTAGTGAAACCAGCAATGCACTCATGCTGGAGATGAGTCACTTGGTTCCAGTCAGCCACACTGTTTGCTGTGTGAGTAATCTCACAGTGCTGGTGGGCCGCTGAGTCGGCCTCAGAGCTCAGTCAGGGAATCTGTTAGGCCGGCTGGGGTACAGACTCTAGAGGAGCGATGTGTGCGGAGGGATTTTCCCTTGTTTTCAGTCTTGGCACAGTAGCACCTCTGCAACGTGTGAGCACGGTGTTTGTTTTAAACGTGTTTCGTGTCAACCGCCTGTCATAAACAGCGACTGTTCATACTTGTTAAAACCAAAACATAAAAATTAGAACTACAGATATATTGAAACTAATAGTGCAACTATTGACCTGCATTGAAAATGTAACTTCATCACATTTGACAGTGAAACAAAATTCAGAAAATTCCAAACTAATGAATAATTAGAAATAATTAAAGCTATAACAACACTAGCTGGATGACTGAATGTGTGTGTGTGTGTGTGTGTGTGTGACTGGCCTTTGAATGTGTCAGTGAGTGTGTGTCACAGCCTTACCCTGGTCTATGTTGTGCTGTGGTAGCTGGCTCATCTGACTGTGGACCACACCTGCGTAATTTCGGAGAAAAGCCTCTTCACTCGGCGTAAGCTGAAGGGGAGTACACAAAATGAAATTCCAAATTATAACACAAGCTCATCTAAAAGGAGAAGTCAAGCATGCTTTTCTAATGCCAATAATTCTAATAAAACTATAATCATTCTCCAGGAAGCAGGGATGTAACATTGTGGAGTTTTTACATGAATTCATTTGAAGAAATCATGTATTTCTTTTTCATCGGTAGTGTTAACAACCCCAAATCCAAATTATACATACTGACTGTGCCCTAGAGTGTCCATATAATGATAGTTATCATTTACAAATATAAATCGAAGCACGCTGTACATAGATATGTACACATGGATACAACCACTGTATATACACTGTATATAACCACCCAATTCATGTATATAAAGTAACCACTTCCATTATTCATTCATTATTCCCCTAACTAATTGCACCCTGCACCCTTGCACTATTGTATTCTTGTTTACAATGTACACTAAACTTTAATTTCATATAGACATTGAATGTTGTTGTTCATTGTTGAATATATTTATAGAGGAATCTCTTTTTTCCACCTACTTGGACGTACACAATAGTTAAATGTTAAATGTTTTCCTGTTTTTATCCGGCTCTGCTGTTCTTGTTTTTGGCTGTATACTTGGCCAGTAAAGCTGATTCTGATCACAAAGTTGGTCTTTCACTCGCTGAAAATCTTTTAATGTTGTCTCTTGGTGACTAGTGTTTCAATTCTGTGGTTAATAACTCTGTGAAGCACTTGTTTGTTGTTGATAGGAAACTCTACAAAAATGCAATTTAGAGCAACAAACCTAAGAGAATAACACTTGGGGTTATGAGTTGATAGTTGATAATGATGTCAGCTTTCAGCCATGTAATGGGAATTTGTAATCATGGTATCAGAAGATATATTAATTAAGAGATTTGGCCTATAATTTATCATATAACTAAATTAATGCACACCCTCGAGCTTATGTCCACACAGACTGAGCATTTACAGTATCAAAGTTAAACATATGATCCGTGAATGACGGCTCCATTTCAGGGTTTTCATTTCAGCCAGCGACGGAGGATTTTTCTGCCTGAAATGAGTTAGCCATGGTCATTAAACTATTCCTGAGAGTTGCCCAAGTCACAAAATCAAGCTCTTATCTGTTTGTCTGGTTAGTGTGCTGTCATACCACTCCCACAGGCTGAGCGTAAAGGGGAGGGGACTGTTTGAAAGATGAAGACCTTGCATGAACAAGTCTTTGCCTTTAAATCTGCTTGATACTGTATCTTCTGCAGCCTCATGATAACCATTCAGAATGCCGTCAGGTTTTTGTCCTCCAGAGTGCTGCCTCTGGAGACTTCCTCCAATTTGTCAAAAGTGGCATCTAGACAAGAATCACTACCTGAATTCCTGTCACTACCTGAGCTGAGCAGAAAACATATCTGTGGATCTGCTCTATGTGCTGCCTGATGTAGACGCACTGAATCTGATGGAAATACTTGCTGAGTGATGATAGTTTTGATAAGTGTTTATCCTCTCCAGAAATTATGAAAACATCAGTTTTCACACCACCAGGAGACAAAGTTTGATTTTTGGCATAGCTTCAGTTTGTCCTCTGTCATCATCTCTTCAACAGAAGAGATGTGCTACTCATAATTTACTGTGAATCTATGCTGAAGTTCTTGACATGAAATAATTTGCTTTAAGACCCATAATTTGCACATTTTTCATGACCAGTCTATAAAGTTTCTTTCTCAGCTACTGCAAGCACCTATCTTAACGATGACACATTTTGACATGGTGATGATGGTTTCTGGTGTCGATGGCCAAGGTGGAAAGGCTGATTAGGGGCAGATTTAATAAGATGAAGATGACGACTTGTGACTTTGCTCATCAAACAAAACACATTGTGTGCAGTAGCTGGACAATAAGAGTTTTTTTGAATTTTGAATTTTATTTTTGATCTGTAAAATGTGAATACCCAACTACAAAATGCCACACGACACTGTACTTACATTTGATCCCATTTTCTTAAGCATGAGCAGGACCCGCACTTTCTGTTGGATGTACATGTCTTCAGGAGACTTCCCCGGGGCCTCCTCGCGGTTCATCCCCCCTGCTCCTGTGGCTCTGAACACACAAACAAATCCAGATTACACAAGACCTGTGAAAAATCACAGCTACGCAAACACTCACTCACAGAGTTATTAGAGGTTAAAAATACTCAGTCACACAATCTGACTAGTCATAAGATGACGGAATGAAATTTTTCTATTGTGAACACTAACCCCTGCAGCCTTGAACATTGGTAGTTAAGACTGTTTCAACCAGGTAGCTACAACGTGACTTATCTTGTTTTGTTTTTTTTTCCTTTTTATTTTCTGTGTTTTGTATTACATGACTTCTGTACTGAATACAGCGCCGACAGAACCTTACATATTGTTCTCGGCAGTGCTCTTTAGCAGATATGAGGTTTAGGCTCTTACAGTCAGCAGCATTGAGCTGACACCCCCTGGAGTATTACTATTACAACAACATAAAAGACAGACTGCATTTCAATTATCAAATGTTTTCTAATCTGACTTCTCAGACGTAGAGCACCAGGCTGGATGTTTTACCATTAGGGTAAATAATACAGATGGTCTGTGTGTGATAAGCACTTCATTCATATAATCCAAACAGTGATGATATTGGAAGTCAGTGGCCTTGTCTCAGTGCAGTCACAGTGCAGTTTTGGCACTTCGCAGCGTGAATGGCTGTCATTAATATTGCATGGCAGTTTTCACACAGATCTCGCCACTGCCTGCTCCTTCCATCTCTTATTCTCCGTCTAACTAATGACCTATTTTCACTGTCAGTCTGCAGAGATGCGAAATATAGGCAAAGGGGGAGAAAAAGGGGGAGGGAAAAGAAGGCGATAAAAGGAGCTGCCAAAGCTAATGCGGATGACGGAAAAGGGATAGGTTCCGCTGTGATAGCACACACACATCAAGGTCGGCTGCTGTCGCATTAGATCTCTGTTATAACACACCAACAAGATGAGGCGTACAGCACAGCTTGCTATATACAGCCTAAATTTTCTAATTGAAAAAGCTAAAACAAACAGCAAAACAAAAACTTAAAGGATAAATCTGGTTTATAGAGAGAATATCAGTATGCAAGTCAGGATTTGTTCTGCCCTAAGAATCTTTCATAAAAAGCCTACGGGAGCCACAGTGACTATGATAGTTCTGGCAATTTATTTTGGCCTCTTATCTATACAAAGGACCACTAATGCATGTTGACAGGCGGTTTGATGTGGGGTTATATTTAATTGAGAAGCTGGCTCGCTGTCCCCCCCTTCACCAGAGCCCAGGGGTGGAGGATGAATGGGGCACCATTGGCCATTGGCTGGCGTTTGGGTGCCACTGTGAGCGTGTGGATTCATCCAGATCAGAGCAGCTGGAGAGCATGCTTCTGGCTACAGGCCTTATAATTATAGCAACCTTTGGTGGCCGTTTACTGTAAGCAACTAACACTTGACTTTGTCTTCTTGTCTGTTTTCAGTCACACACAGTGATAGCGGGACACCGAATAAAGGGCAGATGAATACATTAGTTATTCACTTCAACCTCCCGAGCGTCAGACATAGTTTAATTGGAGAGCCGCTGAAGACTCAAAGCAAGACAGACATGAAAAGATTGAGAGCGCTTGCTGGTGTCAGTTCAGTAGCTCAGTGCACCTTCAGGGTAGTGGTGGCGGTGTGTGAATGCGTTTGGGTGGGGGGTTGTGAAAGGGTGATGGTGAAGGGGGTTCAGGGTGGGTGGGTGGGGGGTGGGGGTGGGGGCAGTAGCTTCAGAACAGCAGCAGTGACACGTTTGATCAAGTATCCGAGCTCCTCGCCAGAGAGCTGCGACTCCAGGCACAGAGACCTACCAGCGAGACGACACACAGTATGAAGAATGACAGAAACTCAGGAGCGCAAATCTGCCAGTCTCAGAAACACGCTGGGAATAAAACGGTCACTGTGTACGAGTGGATAAAGAGTAGAGGATGAAAAGGAGAACTGAAAAACATGATTCTCTAATTGCCAAAAGGTGTCGTCTCGTCTTTGGATTTGTAAAGCCACAAATGATTATAGAACAAACATCCATTAATATTCAGGAATATTTTGAGACTTGACAACTTAAACATTTTCATGTCTGCTACTGCCCATTAATCATCTGTATAAATAGGCCTACTGCTTTCACGACTGATGCATTTCTGATCCTCTGATGTTTTGCTTTTGAAGTTTGAAAAATGGCCATATTTAGTACCATCTATGCTCAGGCTCCTGACTGTTTTGAGGGTTGCAATTGGTATTTTTACCAGCCTGAAAGTTTTATTTTATCTTATCCCACTTTCACAGTGATATCTGCTAAAAGAACAACAAACGCAGTACATGAAATCCCATAGGGAGAGTCTCTGTAGGAAGAAGAAACAATGTGGAATTGTAAATGAGGGTGATCAGGGATGTTCTTTTGTTGTTGTGACATGTTTGTGAAGCCACTAAAAAAAGAGTAAAGGGGAAGCAGTCAGATCCCATCTTTTTGTGGAGTTCACCTAGTCTTCTTCAGGCTAGAGGGGGCAGAAACACTAATTTGTAGATGACTATTTTGGGCTGCACATTAGCTACAGAACTGGAATCATTACAGTTCTCGTACTCAGTGAACTGGATGACAACATGTATACAACAGTGATTAACACTGTGCATATTATTATGTAATGGGTAGTTTCATCCATGCACTCCTACTGAACCAACTAGGTTTCCAGCCATGTTTATAATTCCAGCAATGCTCCAGATGGTGCCTGCCTCACTGCCACAGACTTAACCTCTAAATAATGCCTTTCAGGGTATCAGTGGTACAACATTTGAAACACACTGGCTGGGTCCAGCTCAAGATGAATTTAAAACCAAGAATCACACGTTTTCAGAGTCAGACGCACTATTATGGGCCTGCATTTGAAAATGATTAAAAATATGACTGCTGCAACTAATTATTTTCTCTATCTTTTTTTTATTTCATTTTTTTTTTATGAATTTGCTTCTTGAAGAGTTAAACAATAGTGAAAAAAATCTAAAATTTCCCCGGCTGTTGAGTGAGGCTCAGTTTTCTTGTTTTATCTTAGACATAGACAAAACCTGAATATTTCCTTTGCCATCTTAAACAAACTCTATAAAGTCTAAAACTCAAAAGTTTAAAATGATGCATTACATTTGAGAAGCAGAAACCAGCTCGGGATTTCTGCTTAATAAAATGACAGATGATTAATCAAATCATAATTAATTTTCTATTATCCCCATACTTAATTAACTGACAAATCGTTTGCACCATAGCTGCAATGATTTGTCCATAAATCAATTAGTGCAATGCAAATTAATTTCATTTCTTCAAACTCTGTTCTGATTTAACCCTTAGAAACCCTTAAGACATAAAACATAAACTAGGGCTGCCGATTAATCGACGTATAATAGAGATGGCAATATGGCCAAGTGCAATATCCAAATTGCAGGAGCTGCAATGTTTTGATAAAGGTAAAATGTGTCACAACATTGTTGGGCATTGTTAGCACCATAAGCCTTGTGGTGCTACATAGACGCCTCGGCCTATAAATCATATTCTCTAGACGTACAGGGACATGTTGGTTTGGTACAAGACCCGACAAAAATCATATCATTATCGTTTTAAATTATTACGCAATACGATTTCTTCTTTAAACCTTGCAGTCTTAACACAAACTCCTCTATTTATTTGAGGCCAGTGTCTGAATTACATGTTTGCCACTTCAGCAATGAGCCAAGTCCATCTAGACCACTCACTGAACTACCTTCTGTCCAATAAAATTAAGGCAGACATGAAAGACTTGTCAAGAAGCAGTGTCAAACAAGAAAATTACAAATGACAAAACTGCTAAAAAATTTTTTTAAAAAAATCTGTAAATAGCATCTTAGGAAGAAACTTTGCTATGTGTAGCTTACTAGGGTCATTCTGGCATTATTTTGATGTACATGGTCTTCTGTGTAACATTTCTTAAATAATTTCAAGGACAAGAAACAAGGATCCCGTTAGACTCCTTTGTGTGTGCCTGATGTTTGGTTCTAGAGGTGGGCTGGCTCAACACTAATCCCCCGAGGGATGCTCAGCCTCAGACACATGCGGCTAATGTTCCAGACGTAATCAAAGGCTTTCTTTAATGCTGATCTAGGCCTAATTCCCCCCCACCCCCCTCTGCCTATGTTGCGCTCTTGTCAATGTTGTGATGTTGGGCTGAGCTGAGGCCCTCTAGGCAGCCCAGTGAAATCACAACATCACTGACACTGAACTGAGAAAACTTAAAGGAATGACAACAACATGGGGGAAAGATTCAAATTTCCAATCTGCTCACATGGCAGTGGTGTGAGAAATAAGAGATATATTGCATTAGGACTGCAACCTCATTATCTATCAATCAATCAATCAATCAATCAATCAATCAATCAATCAATCAATCATTTTTTTTAGATTAATCATGAGTAAAATGGCAATTACAAATTCCCGGAGCCCAAGATGGCATCTTAAAATGTCTTATTTTCTTATAGATATTCAATTTACAATGATATACAACAAAGAACAGCAGCAAATCATCTCATTTAAGACGTTGGAATAAGAGAATGTTTGGCTCCTTTTCGCCATTTTTTCTTAAGAAATTATTGAAACACTTAATCAAATGCAAAAATTGTCGGTCGACTAATCTATCAAAGGTGGTTCATCTTTTATGGTATTTTCATATTTAAATCATGGTCATCAAAAATGTCAGTTGCTCTGTGTAAGTGCTAACAAAAATCTTAAAAATGTGTATATAGGCATATATGAATATGTAATATATGTACTTTAATATATGAATTTAGATTTCAGTTTCTCTGTTGTGTAAAAATCCCAGGATATATATAATTCTTAACAGACAAAACATTTATTTCGAACTTTTGTACAGTTATTTTGTGTTTTGTTTGTCATTACATCATTAAACTACACCAACATGAAAACAAAACATGGAGGAGTTGCTGCTACATTATTTCTTTCACTTAAAAAGGTTTCAACACAAATAAAGAGACAGGTCTCTCTTTGATAACTTCTGTGCTGATGAATAAAATATAACCATCAAAATATGCCCTGTTTCAAAAGGAGAGAAGGTGTAAAATCATATTGTGATTTAGAATCACTGTTGTGATTATTTTCAGCGTTTACAACAAGTACTGCAAAATGTCACACAGCTCCTGCGTATGGGATTAGGTTCACATTTGCTGCATGACAGAGGCTCTGTGCAACATTTCTACAGGACATGTACACGTTCAGTAATGCCACTTTACAACAGAGAGAAGCCCATTCATTGCATGGCCACTGCATTCCAGATCTCTAATGTACATTTGTCTGTATGTGTCTGTTAGTGCCTCTGAAAAACAAAAACACGGCCTCTAAAGACGGTTTCAACACTGTGACCAGGCCACACAGTGCAGTGAGGGTCTGCTGCCAGGGATTACAGTATGCAATGTGATAGGCCCTCACATTTGCTGAGGGTCATGAAGAGCAGAGGCTGCCACAGTGCACCACCGGCCCAGTCCCACATGGCCCAGTCCACTTGTTGAGCTTGTTACTGGCTCTGGCTGCTCACATGATGCAGGACGTCTGATTGTTTTACAAATCAGATTCCTCCAGCAAGCAGAAACAGAGGAAACAGGCCTCTTGAGTTGACTGACTGTCTTTGAGTGGGCTTTAGCTTTATACAAATGCTGCTAAAAGCCTAAACTTCAGTGGACCTAAGAGGTCGACAGCTTCCACAGAGAGGAAAAACTGAGAAGGAAAAATAGCTTGAATTCAGTCATGAGCTGCTCTAGCATCCCGAGCAAATGTGTGAGAAACTTAAGTAGGGCTACAACCCTGGTGTGGCTGCCAGCCGAGCTGCCAACAACCTGGCCTGGTTCTGTGGAGCAGCTGTGTCACTGCAGGTACACGTGTACGTGTACACACACACACACACACACACACACACACACACACACACACACACACACACACAACACACACTCTCTTCTACTGATGGATAACCATGTCAAGAAACCTGTTAAAGCAACTAGAGATCATACTGAAATTAGGACAAACATTATTGTCATTTATTGTCATATTGCAGTAAAGATTCTGTTCTCTGATTTTATCAAAAATACAGATATCAACTAAATGAGTTAAGAGACTTTAATTGACAATTGTTTCTTTTTGGCAGCACACCCAACACTGCAGTTCAGCAAAATAAACAGCAGTTTCATTGGTTATTTTTAGAGCTGCAATGATTAGCCCATCGAGAAAAAATTTACTGGCAACTATTTTAACCATTTTTTAATGTAAAAATGTCACATATTCTCTGGTTCCAGCTTCTAAAATGTCAGGATCCAATTCTTTCATTTGTCACATATGATAACTAAGTTTGGGTTTTGGACATCATTGATTGTTTCACTTCATAACATGTTTAAAAGTGTGAACAACCCCTTGCAGATTCTCAGAGGAGAAGGTGAGGTCCTCTAACTATATTTTGCAATTTTTGCTTGTTTTTCTGACAATTAACCCATCGCCTTCAACCCTTACCATAATTTTGACAGTGATTTCAGAACTGCTGCCAACACAACATAACTTACACACATTCAAATGAAAACTATTTGACCAGCCATGACCAGACTGACTCTCTCAGGGTCGAGCCAGCGTGGGGTCTTGAAACAGCATGAGCCAGACGAGCAGACACTGCAGGGCAGAAAGGCTCTGGCTTGGACTTACTGGATGTCTGCATGCTGCCTTTGTGTGGAGCCATCTCCTCACATGTACAGTGCCCACAACAATGGCTACAGTATTTGGGGACAATGGTGATGAACTGGATTGTGAAAACATGATTGATAAGTAGGTCATGTCTTGTTGTCACCACGTGAGGCATGAACTCAAACAATCCTGCTCAACTGTACAGGCTTAGTTCATAGCTGGGTTTCTGGGTGTGCTTAACTGTTCTTTGACTATTTCTGTTTCCACAATAAATTGATGCTAGGACCTAGAGATACTGAATTACAACAGGCTGGACATGACATTTCCAAAATATATAGCTAACGCCATTGGGAAATTTTTCATCAACAGTTTAAAAAAAAAAAGATTTCCCCATTATTTAAGCTTCTAAATTGGCCTGCAAGAAATATATTGTACATCTGCAATACTGCTACAGTTCAATTAAGAACTGGTATGAAAATAAACAGTTTTTCAGCAAAAACACTTAACAGTAAGATTTAGACAACCTGATTTTCTAAATGGTTCCACAACATGCAATTTGATACAACCGAGTTTTTCACAGACCATGCTATGTAACATAATTAAATATGGTCTATGATCTCAGAACATCTTTTCTCGCTCCTCTGGGTCTCTCAATGGAATTGAAACAGAAGCTGCTGCCTTAAGCTGGTCCCTTGGGGGTGCGGCTGTAAGATTTCAAAAGCGCCAACGTCAAGGCAGGGCATAAAATTCTGATTTGCGAACAGTTATATGATCTCTCTGCTTGGAATGATACAATGCTATGCAAATGCACAGGGTACCATGCACAACAGACAAAGAACTGCACACAGAAAAGATGGCTATGATTTCAAGTTTGATTCTAAAGTTGGAGGCCTCTGTCATTTTGACTAAGGGTGTAAACGACGAATAGATGCAAGCAGCTCTTGTATCATAGTGTCAGGCCACGAGAGGCTACTACATGGCCTGGTTAATGCTGACAAGCTGAAAGGTGCTTGTGCCAAACGCAGAGCAAGAGGTTATGAGATGAACCAGCCCTTCCTCCCAAACACTGCTCACAGGCAGCTGATGAGGTCCCCCCAGGGCTCGAGGGAGTTGAGCAGCCGCTGAAGAGCACCTGCCCTGAATGTGAGGAGGCGAGGAGGGGAGAGAGGCGAGGCCAGCGGTCTTAATCTCTCTCCAAAATCCAGCCAGCTAGGGGAATGTGCAAACTAAGGCAGGCTTGACATACTGTGGGTCCATGACCAACTCTGCTATTTGCCAGGAGGATTCAGTGTGCTCGCCTGTGGCCAAGCCCTGACACCCACTGGCTGCAGCACTCATCAATGCCCTGCTGCCGGCAGGATGCCAGCTTCACCACTCAAAGGGCTGTCAGCTATCTGACATGTGGGGGAAAGCAGACACTGTAAAAGGCAGGGTGGCACAATGCATCTATGGGTGGCATGATCCAAAAATAGAGATTCAATGATGGAGTTATGGGAAAAGCAAACGTGAACATGAAAACTAATTTGAAAGAAAGTGATCAGATGTACACCAGCTTGTGTGGTTGGAGCAGCATTGTAAATGTTCTCTTAGCATTGCCTTGGCTGACTGGTGGGTGTTTGGTGAGTGGGACAAATAGGTCTGTAATTAGTATTTTCATGCAGGCTTGAATCAAGTACGTGTGGTCTGCTGGATCTCTTGTCAGCAGGAAACAGAAAACTGTTCTGAGGTCGTTATTTCAGACACGTTACGTACAGTAACATCATGATGGTGGGTACAAGTAAAACAAACTGTTAAGGTTAACGCTGGCGACAATCTGCCTAACGCTCACTAACGTTAGCTGAGTAAGTGATCGATTTTATTAGTTTTCTTCAAAGACAAACTCTGAATGAAAAATACATATAACACAGCAAACAAAAAACCCGAACCCTAAACACAGCAGACTGAAAGTAGAAAAAGCAGATGGACACACATGACTGTGAATGGTTCTTGTTATCATGTTGCGGGACGCAGACTGTTCAAACTGTAGCAGCGCTCTTGCTAGCAAGCAACGAGCCTTCAGCGCAATCTCGATATGGATCTGAAATAATATCCGCCATGGAAAAATGCGTAGACACTACTCTTAATGACTAACAAATCGTCTTCATTTTAACCTGGACAAACATTTCATTTAGTGTGTACTAAACCCACGCGACCCTTGGCAAAGCGGTCAGTGCTAAATAGCCAAGCTAGCTCGCTAGCATGCCCGAGACAAAAGCCTGAATGAAGTTCCTATGGGTGCAAACACCATCCAGGTACCGCCGCTGTGCCAGAAGTGTAAACGCTGGGATTCAAACACACCTATCGTTTCTAAAAAACCCTGACAATATGCACCACGTCAAGAAAACGAGACGTGTGAGCTTACCCCTCCTGGTCCAGCTTTTCTTTCTTCTGTGCTCTGTTTGAATGGTGTGTTGTTGTAGGAGGGCGTCCTGTTCCGGGGTCACATCCCTCCAGTCGGCACAGCTACGGCGGACTGACTCAACGCAGCGAGGGTCCTGCTGGTTGATCAGTACTGCTGCCGGCCACCGGGGGCGCCATCGGCACAGCCAACGCTGCACATATCAGGGATCAAGGGTCAGCAACTAGGCTTAACCAGGGGCCTGTTTTTCCAGCCTGGGTCGATGTCAATGTACAGGAAATGTATGATTTCTTGTTTTATTTGTTAAAGTATTTTATTTTATTCATGAATAGAACAGATTTATACAACTTGCTGTTCTAATGGAAGAGCAGTATGACAGAATGGAACTTCAAGGAGCCCCAGGGCAGAAAATGGCTGTTGGGCTCCTATTAACCACCAGTGTACATGGTTGTTTCATTATTTCTCTAGGGAACCACTTGGCCATCAGTTGTAGAGGTGGTTTTTTTGAATAGATGATTCACAGAAAATTGACTGGCAACAATTTTTTTTAATTTGATCAGTCATTTTATAAGCAGAAAAGGCTAAAATAAATTAATTGGCACCAGCTTCTCAAATGTGAATATTTGCACGTTTTCCCTGTTTTCTATTATAGTAAATTCAACATATATGGGTTTTAGGCTATTGGTCAAACAAAAGTTAATATGTTGTTTTCATAATTGTCTAACATTTTATACAATGAACAATCAATTGATTAATAAAAAAAAGAGATACTGATGAAGAAAATAATTGTTGGTTTCACTACCTTGCTTATTTACCTTGTTTTCTGTGTGTCAATTACTTGACACACAGAAAATATGGAAGCAATTTGATAAAACACAATGTTACAACAAATGAGTAAAATATAAACTAGATTTTGACACAGCCCCCCCCCCACACACACACACACCAACAGAGTACAAGATAGAGGATGATCTGTCAGAGTTGATACTGTACCTCAGGGGTACGAATTTCTAACAAAATTATTTAGACCCAAATAATATAGAGCAAACCTGGGGTTTTTGGGCCCCTGAAGGTTTGGGCCCCCTGGGTATGTGTTTGCTTTGGTTATCCAGCCTTGAAGTGAAGATGTCATTGTGTGAGGACTGACAGAGTTACAACAGCTTATGTTTCCACCTGTTGACCAAAAATGACTCATATATGTATGCTTTGTGTTGCTTGAAATGTAATTGATAAGTAATCAATACTTGATACTGCCTACTTGATTTGTGGTTGAATTTACATAGTGTTGTTGTTGTTGACGCCATTTTGAATATGTACAGAATCACTTTTTTCATAGTTTTTGAACCTTCTTAACATAAAAAACAAAAAACAGCAGTCACAGCTTTGTAAACCAAACACAACAAAAACCACAAACAAAACAAGCATACACACACACACACGCACGCGCACGCACACGCACACGCACACACACACACACACACACACACACACACACAGACACACACACACACACACACACACACACACACACACACACACACACCGCCACCAGGCTGACATAATTACTTTCAAATTACTAGGGTATGCTGTAGTCAGTTCCAATGCTGTTAATTAGGTAGAATGAAGTCCAGTCCAGATGGGTCCACTGTGTCCAAGACTGGCATATCTTAATGAATACTTCGACATTGTCATAAAGGGTGTGGGTCAGTTTTTCCAGAGGGATTATTTTCTGCACCTCCTCACACCAATTGTTCAGTGCAGGGATGTCCTTGGAAATCCTGAATTTGAGAATAGTCTTTCTTACCCACCTCATCGATCACGTGTATCTTTGCACATTTCCTAATGAATTGCATTTAATACACTTAGAGTCTTACTTCTCAATAATGGTGTACTATGAAGCCTGTGTCATATTTCAAATTGTGTCTCTTTATCAGTATTATAGCTCAGAATAGAAAGTGTATTTGATATTACTGATGCCCAGATATTTTCTTCTATCTGACATTCTATATCATTTTGCCATTGCTTTCAGATGTGATGAGAAATAAATCTTTTTGGCATGGGTTGTTTAAGAATGTCTTCCAAGAAATACACATTTGGAGCATGTATTTTATTTTTGGTATATAATGTCTTAAATGTAAATAGCACACCATTTCTGTTCTGTTGTTCTGTGTCACCTATTTGTACTTGAAAGATTATATTTATTGGCATTGCATTTACAGTGCTATCTAGGCTACAGCAGATTTATGAAGAATTATGAAAAAGTTTTGATGTAACTATAAAATTTAAAAGACCAGCTTCTGTTGTGGGGCCAAATATTTTGTTCTGCCTTTTCAAGGTCTCTAGGATCTATCGTAAAACTGTAAGTATCGAAACACAAATCTCAGATAATACAATACAAAATGACTGATGTTTTCAGGGGGGGACATATTACTTGTTGGGGTATTAATGTTATAATGTATAGTACACACTGTTGCTATTTCTTGTCCCCATATAAGGAAAAGCCATAAGAAATCTACATAACATAGAGTTCTGGATGTAAATAATGTGGTTTATGTTGTCAATAAAGACATTTCTCGCATTGAAGTATATCTTTGAATTTTGTTCCATCATTGCCTAAACAACAAACCACTGTGGACCCACTAGATGGACTTAATCACATTTGCCAGAACAATTCCGCCTAATCAGAAATCAATCAATTGCTCCAGCCCCAAATAATGGAAGCTTGTTTGAGTATATTCATTAAAAATAAGAGATTCATAAAAAGAAACATTTATTTACCTTTTCTCTGTTCAGTTGTATAGAAATTGCACAAAAATGGAAAAGAGTGGTGACTTTAGTGGCTCTGGCCTTCATTCATGATCAGCCTTTTATAAGCAAAAAAAAAAAAAAAAAGGAGAAAACGAAAGCTAACATGACTTATAGCTTAGAAAGACTCAGTGAGATCTGCTGTTGCAAACTGTTTATTGAGTGTATGTTTCCCTCCCATCAGCAAGTGAAGTAAAGGTGAAAACAGGATGCAGACAGATAAAGGACAGGTCTACATGAGACCTTTGCTAACAGGACAATTTGTCTGCTTTAGCTGCACATATGTAAATAAGGCCTGAGCCTTAAAGGATTTGTGCCATTTGACACAATTCATAAATTACAATCAGTTCAAAAGGCAACAGCAGTATATTTTATAATCTGCAAAAAATAGCCCATAAACTGAGTAGACTCACTTCTCCTGGCTTAAAGCAGCAGTGATTAGCTGAGCCCATTCTGAGGGACACTGATGACTCATGTTTAAGGTCTATTCCACAGTGAATATTTAACATTTCAGTAGTTTAAGGTATTTATGCTGTATAATCTACAGCTACACTTGCTCTTCTGTAAAAGTCGTCATTGTACAGAGACTCATACAAACGGTAGAGATCATTTACGCAAAACAAAAAGGCTATGAAAAGCACATCATCTTCTTTCACTGACTCTTCCTTACAGGACTGACAGCAGGATATACAGCATGTAAAGTAATATGAACATACCATAAAATTAAACCCTCACACAGCCAACACACCATTCTGCGCAGCATTCGATATGCCAAAATATAGAGGTGTTTGACACTGTAAGCATGAAATCTCTTTCATGGAACCTCGCACATCAGTTCAAAAAAATGCAATGGAAATCACAAAGCATAACTTAAATATCAGAAAACAACACATACTCGTAAACACACGCACACACACACACTCACAGACACGCGTACTGCATCATCTGAGATAGGACACATATTTCAGATTTACACTTTCAAAAGGGCGTGTGAACAGTAGCACATTTTCAGAAACTCAACTGTGTCTATGGCTTACACCAGTCCATAGATTGTCTTATTTGCATCGTACTGAAGCTTGTATTCAATATTTTGGTATTTTCACCAAACATCAATAACATCTTTGCCTCGCGCCTGAGATCATTTCTTTGTCCTTTTGCTACTGGCAGTCATGTCATTTTAGTTAGATATTTTGGGAATAACTCTCTAGACAACAGTTTGATGAGAAAATCTATACTCATCTCATATCCTTCTGTTAAAGGGATAGTTCGGTTTATTTGATGAAGGGTTGTGTGAGGTAGTCAAGCATAGTCAGTGTGTTACCTGCAGTAGATTAAGATCCGCACGCTGCCAGTTATGAGAGGCAGCAGGGAACACGGTACACCAGCAGAGCGATGTGCTGCTGGGCCAGAAAATCGTGTTTTAGACACTTTTAAAAGACGCCCACCGAAACAATCAAATATAAATTTAAATGTACGCTTCATGCAGAATATTTGAACGGATATCGGATTGTTTCGGCGGGCATTTTTTACAAGTGTCTAAAACACATTTTTTCTGCTGGCCCCATGCACAGTAACACATCCCTCTGCTATTGAGCCGGTGCTTTCAGGCTCCTCTCGTAACTGGCAGGGCTCTGATCCAAATGTACTGCAGGTAACACACTGGCTATGCATGACTACCTCACACAACCCCACATCAAATAACCTGAACTATCCCTTTAAATATGAAGCTGGGGCCAGGAGACAGTAAGCTTAGCTTAGCATAAATACTGAAAACAGGGGGTAACAGCTAGCCTGGCTCTGCACAAAGGTAAAACCAAATCTGCCTGGCAGCACCACTAAAGCTTACAAATGAACAATGTGTCATTTTTAGAAGCGCTGCTGGGCAGATTCTGTTGCCTTCGGACAGAATCTAGTTGTTTCCATCTGTTTCTATCTGGCTCCAGCTTCACATATAACAGACAGACATGAGAGTGGTATTGAACCTCTCATCTAACTCTCGGCAAGAAAGCAAACCAGAATATTAACCAACATGTCAAACTATTCCTTAAATGTGTAGTTGCTGTTTAGTGAGGGTCTGCTGGGTATCACAGTCTGGTACACTGGGACGTTTCAAAATAAAGATCCCATTCAAAGTTATTTTCTCATTTTACAATAAACTGTAAATGTTACAACATTTCCTGTCTAGTGGCACGCCAAAGGCAACATACTGTACTTCAAGGCAATATTACACATCAGTAAGTGATACAGCAGTAAAACACATATTTAACATATTTTTTTTTAAAATATCCTTCATGGCTTTGTACAAGTACTTCAGTTACCACATTAAATAAAATACAATAACATAAAAAAAATAAGACACAATTGCAAAGAGGCAGTTGAAATGAGAGGAAACGATACAGCCATTAAACTGTATTGAAAGACTTGAGGTGAAACTGCCACCCTGTTATTTTACTGTGACTGGAAGATATCATCTAAAGTCATCATAAATCATCATCACTGTCTGCCGTTTGCTCCCTGCTGAGTAATGCAGTCGGTGAGATGATCTTTCAGTCAGTGATTCACACCTTCGCATGAGCAGGTTTTCAAGTAGCGATTTCAACAAATCAAAAACACATGTGTATTGTCTGTCTTGATATGTCTCCAAGGCAAAGGCATCCCATTGTTTGACGGGGTAAAGATGACTGTGATGGATTTCTCTCATTGTGAAAATATCTGTGTGCTGAAATGACGCTCATTGTCTTTGGATGCCTCCACTTAGTCGTACTTTTCCACAGACAAGCCAGTCGTATGTAAACATTTGCTGAGTGTCTTTGAATGCCGTCAAATAAAGTAAAAACAGTTTATTGTATTTTCTTCCCTTTTATCTCCATAAGTTAAAATCCATCATTTTCTGGCTGGTCCTCAGGTGTTCAGCGTTCTTCAGGGTCTGTTATCTTTGGCCAAGGAGTGCATCATCCAGTTGACCTTGGTCTTCCAGCTCTCTCGCAGGGCTTCGTTAAACTTGACTTTGAAATTCTTCAGCGCCTCCTCCTCTGATTTGCCCAAAGCCAGAGAATCCTTTTGGAAACAAGAAAAACCAAAACATTGTCAGCATCATTATCAGCCTCATTACCAGCAGCAGCATCAACAATAGAACTGTTGCTACCTTTAGGTACTGGATGTCTTTGAAGGAGGTGAGCTCTGGCAGTCCTGCTGCCTTCATCATGGCAAAGAGGTTGACGAACAGCATCCCGTTCCGACACAGGATCTTATAGGCCCGCTCACAGTACTCCCTGAACCTGACAACATGGATGCAACAATCAGTTATCAAGTATAAAACATGTAAAAAAAAACAGAATCCCAGATCAATACACAAACTAATACAAAAATATTGTACCTCTTTTTTTTTAACTGGTGGAAAAAACAGAATGACATGAAAGTCACAAAACATAGACAAAAGTAAAAAGGGGTTCCCAGCCCAACCACCCAGCGCCACAACTGGGGGCCCACGCAGCAGACAGCCGGGGCAGCCTGGCAAGGGCCCATCTCCCACTTTCCCCCTCCTCCTTCCTCCAATCGAGGGTTTTTTAAATTGGGCACATAGGTTCAAATTTAGGACAGTTTATTATATAGTTTAAAAATATTGTACCTCTCAAACTTCTCACTGTTGTTTGTCCTTCCTTGCTGGATCACATGGACAAAGTCATAAGTCAAGATGAAAGGCACACGCTCCCTGTTGATCCCTAGTTTCCGCTTGAAGTTGCCCAGGAAATGCCCAAAGTCAATGTGGAACAGCTGAGGGACAAAGGTTAAAATGATGTTAAGTAGGTTCTGAGTCACTGACCACACTCACATTTCTTAAAGACTCACTAACTGTTGAGTGACTTCAGTGATTTCACTCCAAAATGACACTTTAATCTAAGACTAAATAATCACTGGAATCAAATGAGAAGTTATAATCAAGTAGCCTACTATTAAAGCTGTTGGCTAATTGGAAACTCTATCGCAAACCTTGACATACCAGTCAGTATTTTTTTAGTGACAATTTCTATACTATTGATTTTGGCAGCTGTAGTATGTGTTCTGCCACATACTACATTATGAAGCAGAGCACAAGTAATGTCAGGTTGAGTATTATGTTAAAAGTACAATCTATTTCCCTCTTTGCAGCCTCTTGTAGACTTAGTGTCATAATTATTTCTTGTGATGTAAAACATCAGAGGTAAAAGCTCACCTGTCCAGTTTCCCTGATCATGATATTGTCATTGTGACGATCTCCAATGCCCAAGACGTAAGTAGCTACACAGTAGCCAGCACAGGACAGCGTGAACTCTTCTATTGCTTGATCAAGTTTTTCCCTGGTGACAAAAACAAAAACAAGGATATCGTACATCACTACTACATAAACACACATGTATCGTCCAGTCATGAGGCAGGGTTTTTTTTATTTATTGCAGCCATATAAAATATTCACAAATTCCTGTGGCCGATTAATGATTGACTGACACGTCCTTCCACGGTCTAGACGTGCATGGGGTTCACTGTGTTAAGCTTTAACTAATTCTCTCCGCTCCATCTCAGGCGCTGCAGCATTTCAGCCTAATAACCGCTCTGTTCTGTCGCGCAGTCAGCTGGGCCTGTGTCGCCAACGTGACGTACGTAAGGCTTATTCATTACATCGAACGGTTCTCCTTCTTCAAGGAGCTTTTAGAGGACACGAGACCTTCAGACTTTCTGGCACCGAATGAACATCTACTCTCATTTAATGTGGCTAAAGCTGCAGTTGCCTACGCACTTTGTCTTGGTCTGTCACAGTCTCACAGTGCTGCACACAGTTAATATTTTGATGCGAACAATTCAGACCACACACACACACACACACACACACACACACACACACACACACACACACACACACACACACACACACACACACACACACACACACACACCCACACCCACACACACACACAACTGCTGCAAGTTTCAGTTACTGCATTCAGTTACATGAAAAAAATTGTACCATGGGGTCTTGACATGAAGTGAATGCCACTTCCTATAATTTTTATTAACTCAAATATCATAAACATATCTGGAAACAATTTGTTTTTAACCCCTCCATTTAGCATTCATAACAGCTGTATAAATTAATAGTTCATAACAGACTATAATGTAGTAGTAAATAAATATAAGGACCTTTAAGTGTTAAATAATGTTCAGTATATGTTATAACTTCTCAGATCTGGATCTTTGACCTTCAACAGATCCAGTCTATCTCTCTCTCTCTCTCTCTCTCTCTGCATGTTGTCCTAGTCTCTCTCTCCCTCTGTGCGTTTGTCCTCCTTTCTCCTATATGTGTGCGGTGTGCTTCAGTTTGTGTATTCTGTCCTCTCTTCATGGAGGAGAGGGGGTCGTATGGCTTGGATCCAATCTGTTTGGCGGTACCTGGATGTTGCTCCTCCTGGATAAGTTTTTTCCTATACGTTTACAATCTATAACTTTGTCATCCTGGTCGTCTATACTGTAAATCTACTTTGTGGTTAAGTCTCTATTCTGCACACGCGACATCTATTGCATGTCTGTCTGTCCTGGAGGAGGCAGCCCTCCTGCGGTGGTCTCCCTGAGGTTTCTTCCATTTTTTTTCTTGTTTCTTTTTAAAATTCTGACTTGAGGGTCTCCGAACAGAGGGTGTCGTATGCTGTTCAGATTGTTAAGCCCTTGAGGCAAATTTGTGAAATGTGATATTGGGCTATATTAATACAATTTGACCTGACATGACTATGAAGAACTGTGTTTTGCGATAATATTGTTCATTAACTGTCATACATCAGCCTCACATATGGTCATAGTGCTTAACAAATACATAAATAAACAATTAAAATGTCCTTTTATCGGCTTATGACTACACTATAGTGTGTTATATAAGATTCATCAACTGTTTATGTCAAACTGTTATGTTACCACATATCATACACACGTGTATCTTCTCTGTACTGATCAGGTTGTCGAGTCATTCCTATCTTAGTCGACACAACAGAGCTAGTGCAATGACGCGTTTAACACCTCCACTGTGTTTCAGTTCCCAAAGATATCGAAATAGTTGTAGTGCTAGTGATAGCGCACATCTTGTCACATATCTTGCAATGTACTCGGACATGTTATCTGCGATGTCGAGAAGAAATCAATACAATGTACCATTTCGTACTAACAGTAAATGACACTGTTTGAGCACAGAGGGAAGTCAAGTTTGACTTTGGAGCGAAACCCCTTCACATAGAGCAAGCACACATTTTTTTCCACAAATTTAAAGTTATAATATGTAACTTTTCCGCATTAAAATGTCTAAAAATGACCTGACCTATGTTATACCTTTTTTTGAGTTGTGTTCTTACACTATCCCAAATGTTTCCAGAAATTCTCAAACCGGAGAAAAACACGATTCTAATATGGTAACGCTCCGTGTCATGTGGTCACCTGTTAATGACATCATATTCCCTATGCGCATGGGTCGCATTGCAGTTTCCTGCCAGAAGCTCAAAATGGACTTTTATCTATTTCTAAGCCACATACACTTTTTTACACCTTGGTGGTTTCAAACTATATTTTTAAACCAGATGAAGGATTTTAGTCGTCAGACGTCTGCATCTGAAGTTATCAGAGAAACAAGCTGAGGAAATGTTAGACAGCTCAGTTCCCAGCTGCTGCAGACGTCCTGTCCTGTGTCACTGAACTGTGTTGGTGAATCACTGATTCTTAAAGTGAAACTGCTTTATTCAGTGTTTTTTAATGGTTACAATCTGTTACAAATAATGGTGGTGAAGACAACATCTCCCATGATCCCTCCCTATTTCATGATGTCACCCAACATCGTCTTTTATTATTGTTTTGACTGAGAGACTCCTAGCAGCAGAAGTTACATACCGTGCGTTTAATACTTTTCTTTTGTTTTTCGGGGATCTCGACACACACCACCAATTTGTTTTTATACGTTTTTTCACATTTTGACTATCAAAAGCAGGTAGTAGGGGTGCTGCAGGAGATGTAAAGTGTCAGAGAGGAGGAATGGCATGGAATAAGGTCTGTCTGGACCCTTAGGCCGTCAGGGTGCGATCTAGCTCCGCCATTTCTGTTGTACATTACATTGTGTCCCTTAAAACTCAATAACATTGTGCATGGTGGCCTTCTTAAACAGAGCTGGGGTAAATCACTCATCACTTCTACAGAGATCAGTACAGTATCTGAACAGTAGGAGATGACACTGTGAGGCTTAGTAACTGTGTCAGAGTAGTTCATCACACTCACTCAGGATTCTTAGATTTGAGCCAGTTGAGCAGAGCGTCCTTGTTGAAGGCAGCAGTGGCAGCACTGTTACTGTTGTTGCGCTGGATGTTGGCGATGGTGTCAGAGTTCTTCACTACCTCGATGAGCCCCATCTTGTTCCCAGTGGACAGGCAGCCATATGGGATCATCCTGTGGATGTGGGGTGAAATTGACAGTATGAGGTTGGTGCAGAAGATCTCTTTGTGCGAGAAACATCAACAGCTGCTGCAAACAACTGCTCCCACTGTACCTGAGATCAAGGCCTTCTTTCTTCCATAAGGTCTCCATGAGCTGGATCATCTGCAGGGTCAGCATGTCTTGTCGAAGATCTTTAAAAAAGAGAAAATCTTAATTTCATTGTGACAAGTGATGTATCAAATTTAAATTTCCTGCTAACTTTCACCCTTACGCTGCTTGACTTCTAACGTCCGACATCCCTTTCCCAAACCCACTGGGTATGTTTATCTTTCCGGTGCACTGTAATGTACAACCAGGTATTTCAACCCTTCACTGTACCTTCACCCTTTTGTGCTAAACTAAAGCAAACTACGGCTTCAAACCTGACACTGTGTGGTCATGAATTCAGATGTTCTTGTATCTCACCATCTCCATTCTTGAAGATGATGCCCACCATGTCTCCTTGAGTCCAGTGGTTCTTATACATCAGCCAGAGCGGCTTCATCTTGGAGTCCATAAATCTGCACTTATCTGCACTGCAGGAGTAAACACACTCATTATGAATACGTGATCATCTTAATAAAGTTACTAATGTTAATAACAGTGTTTCAGGTTACTAGACTGAGGACAAAATTACTTAATACAATGCTGTTTTTTGTTTGTTTGTTTGTTTGTTTTTTTTTACAAAATATGGTGCCACTTTTAGTTTGTTGGAGACATTTCAAACACCAAGAACAAGGCAATTTTGTTCACAGCAAACAAGCTAAAGCCTTTATTAAAATAAAAATCAAAAAATGGCACCATCCTCACCTGTAAAGTTTCCAACAGTCAGAAATGAGTGTAAAATTGTGTATACTTTGATTTAAAATAAAAATGTAGCGGTACTGTCCCAATTAAATATCAATTTGCCAATATGGTCCCTAAATTTATTATTTTGTAATTCAGCAATATAATCCCCATAAAGGGATCAGAAATGCCCCATATAATTAAATTATGGTGGAAAAATTTGCAACTGGCAAAAACGATTATCCTGCGGCTTTTGCGTGTGTGTCTACTGTGTGTCTGGCACTAACCAGATCTCAGAGAGGATGATGCTGGGGTTGAGTGGTGACATCAGGTCTGACAGGGCCTCCACATACGAGTCCTGTTTGATACATATTTTCAGGTCCTCTGCTGTCATCCTCTGGGAGCCCGACTTAACAAAGTCACTCAGGGCCTTCATTTTGCCCAGAGCCTCGTTCTGTGCGGCAGAGGCTGAGATTTAGTACAAAACAAATACACACATCTGAGACCACTGACTTGATCAGTGTGTATGAGTGAGTGCGATTACCTGTTTGGATAAGAGCTTGATGTGGTGGATGTTTCCCCTGCAGTATGCTTCCAGAATCAGGCCAAAACGCAAACTCACAGACGCCACGTGAATCTCTGACCTGCGATGAACACACATTCTCCCATAAAACAAAAGGCTGCAAAATGCAAGTGAGCTTGTGTTTTCTGTTGGGCTGCGTCTCACCTGAGATGCCAAAACAGAAAGTGTCCTATCCTCCTGTTGGACAGGGCCCTCTCTAGCAGGAAAGTGGTGAGGTCACAGTCTAGGTAGGACTCGTACTTTAGGACCTGGACCAGCTGGATTAAATACTGTAGCAGTTCATCATCACTGTGTGCAGGGAAAATGGTCCATTAATGATTGTGCTATTAAAACTTCAAATACAAAATGTCTTATCGACATAAAAACAAATATCCTTCTACCTGAGCTTCCTGAGGCATCTGATAGTGAAAGAACGGACAGTCGGGTCGGGAAAACTGTAGTCTAACAGCTCCAAGGCATGGATGGCAGGGAGGTCCGGCCAGTTCTTCAGTAGACTCACCATCTGAGGAAAATCAGTGATCCTTTTTTTTAACCTTGATGAGAACAGTTAAATCTCTGATGTGTGAGATGACAGATTATTTTTAATGTACTGGATTTTTACTTTTAAGCATTTCACTGGTTGGTAGTGCTGAAATGATTAACAAGCAGCTACTTTGATTATCGATTTGTCACACTGTTGAAGTCACTTATCAAGCAAAAATGTATTGCTGGTTTCTCCAGGGTGATGAGATGCTGCTTTTCTCTGCTATACATCATTCTTGATTAAATATCTGAATTAAATATCTTTGGACAAAATAAGCAATTTGAAAATCACCATTGTGAATTCTAAGAAATGTGATGATTATTTTTTGTTTTTAGCCATGCTAGCAAAGTCACCCTGGTGCTGGTCCAGACTGAAATATCGAAACACTTTGTTTTGTGACCAAACACCAGAAAACAAATGAGATTCCCATCAGAATTAGCTGAATTTTGTGTTTAGTGCTAATTAGCAAATGTTGTAGCATGCTAACATGCTAAACAAAGACAGTGAACATAATAAACATTACAGTGTATACTAAACATTAAGCATGTTAGCATTGTCACAGTGAGTATGCTAATGTTAGTATGCTAATGTCTTGTTCTAACATTTTAAAAACTAAATTAATCGATTAATCAGCTCATTAATTGTATCATTAATTGTAACAATAAATAAATATATATTGTTAGCTAAAGTCCTGCTGGTTGGATTGTTAAACATGACATTGATATTGGCAAGTCAGTAAAATAATTAAAAAGTAAAAGTTTTATGAAATATGTGAAATTACTGAGCAAACGAACAGGTCGTATTTAGCAACAAAATCTTAAATCTATTTTGGACATTTTCTAGGTGTTCTGTGTTTTGATCACAGTGGGGAAATTCTTTTCTCCATTCATACCTGAACTACGTCCTCTCGCTTATTCCACTTGGTGATGAGGAGCAGCTTGGACAGACTTTCAGGATAATGGTCGCGGACATCGGTGCGGAGCTTCCATAGGAGTTCCTTCTCATCCTCAAAAAACTCAGTGTAGTTTTTGTTGTCCATGATTTCTTTTAGTTTCAAGTACTAAAGAGAATGACCCGACAACAAATTCATATAAAAGCAACAAACAGCTGCTGTATTTTTTTTCTGTAAAATGAGAGATGTAGAAAGTCTTACCTCTTCTTTAGTGCCACTAAAGAAACTGATAGATGCATCGCCATTCTTCTCTGTGTCGCTGATCTGAAAACAAGACGATTTTTTTTTGACTGACAGAATTCCAAATCCAAAATTTTAGGATGTACTCAATATAGTCTTTTGGGCAGAAGTACCTTGTCAAGCGGAGGATAATAAAGAGGATGTGGTCGGATGTTGGGGAAACGGATCAGAAGCCCCGCAGCACTGTCCACATTGGGGTTCTTCTCGACTGTTCCCATCGGGTTCAACAGGTCACTTTTGTCATCTGTGATAAAAATGTCACATATGAATCCTGTCATCATTTTATCCACTTAGTGTACTGTACTCCCTCTACATTTTCACAGTCAAACCACTTTCTAAAAGTGAGTGTGCATGTTAAACTATACTGCTCTTTCAAACCGCATAGACAGATAAAATCATTTTACACTGCAGTGGATAAACATGCTCTATTTGACAGCCCAGCCTCTGACGCCAACAAACAACAGCCATTTCCACATCTTAAAATCGCTATCTTGTGCATCAGCAAACACATAATGTCTGAATATGTGGGGTTTTGATGGCGCCACATGTCACTTTGGGTATTTCAGCCCTCACTGTGTGTTCTCAGACACTGTGTGGGAGGCTGTGAGCATGCAAGGTGTTTTTGAAGAGGAGGAAATGTAAGAGGAGGCAAGGCTGAGAGTACCAGGAACAGATGGCCATGTGGACAAGAGGAACTCCCCGGTCTTTAGCTGGTCCTTGTAGTCGAACACCATGGTGTTCACCCAGGCTATGGGACAATCCTGAAAGGAAAGAGATAGCGGGACGGGGAAGATTAGGTTTGTTGATCCACTTTATCTGCAAGCAGTACAATCAGGGAAATGTCGGTGTCTTTGAGACTGAATTTAAAAAAGAAAAAGAAAGAAAAAGAGGGACAGAGGGAGAGTACTCCAAGTCTCTTAACTAACCTCCACTGTTTTCAGTCAAAGTTAAATTAAGGTTTACTCAGTTACAACAAAATCAGGTCAATTAGTGGAATCTATCTCTATCAAACTACATATAGTAGTTGAGATATAAAATCATATTAATCATCTCTAGTGTCATTCTGCTCTTTTCAAGCTCTTTTCGTTTCTAAAAGTAAAAATATAACCAACTCCTATTCCAAACATCAACATCCAAAAGACACACTGAAGAGTCTTTAAAGATAAAGCATTTTCATCAATCAATCAAAAACAATTTGAATAATTAACTGTCTCTTGTACAACATATGCTTTATTTTGGAGGTTTTTTAAAATATTTTAATGACATACTGTATAAAAGTTTAAAGCGTGTCCGTGGCTTCTTTTATTTGATCATTTATCACATCAAATAATAAACTGTAAAGCAAAGAACTTCTGCTGCTTCTGGTAAAAGATTTACATGAGTAGGATTCTGTATTTAGTCTTATTTCAGTCTTGTGTGTCGTGGCTAAAGCCAGCACGTAAAGCAGCAAAAAATAGAAACAAGTTCCAGGCAATGATCTGAACAAAAATAGCTTTACTGTTCAATGTGTTGAAAATGAAAAAAAAAAAACACACATACACAAAAAGCGGAGATACACATAAACAAGACTTGGCTTAAATAGCTCAACTTCCGTCTATCTCTCTGCTGTCTGGCTGCAGGGACTTCTCTTCCGGACAGAAGAAGAGAGAAGTGGCTCGGAAAGCAGAAGCAGCCTCGATACCAATAGAACACACCTGGCTGCCATGTTTGGGCAGAAGTCCCACAGCCGCTGCAGCGCATCAAAACAAAAGATGCCCAGACCACAGCCGCGCAAAAAAAAGGGAAATTAGTTGCTGCTCACTGTACCTACAGCCAGTGGGTGTGTGGAGGCTCCTTCCAGTGTAGCCTCACAGTGTCGTACTACAGATGTAAAGGATTAAAAAAAAAAAAAAAAACTCCCTACTGACTTTTAATTAATGTGACATCAATGTTGTAATAGGGAAGTGAAAGAACATATTAATTTTTTTCATGTTACATGTAATCAGGGCTACATCTTAATATATTTTGTATTATTCATTAATCTTCCAATTATTTTCTCAATTAATAAATGAAATGTCAAAGGAACTGTTGAAAAAATGGCCACCATAATTTCCCACATGTTCAAATTGCTTCTTTTGTCAAACGAACAGACCAAAAAGAAAAGACAGTCAATTTACAATGATATGAAACTGAGAAAAGAAGCAATTCCTCACATTTGAGAATCTGGAACCATCCAATTAATTCAATTTTCTGTCAATCTACTTATCAGTTCTGTATTGGTTCTAAATGTAGGCAGTTGTTATATTGTTGTAATGTATTACTGTCACATTAGACATCATTAACGTTAGCGTCCACAGCTGGCTCTCCACGGCCTTGAACAAAGCAGTTCACAGCAGGTCCAGTTTCATGGTCTCATGCATATTTGTCTTTTAAATCTCATTTACCTTCTTTTTGTTCTATGCTTTGCCAGTCATGTATAATAATATGTAAATGATGTACAGCTGCACAACGACTCGCTGTCCAGAACATCCAATATGTTTGTGTCATGGATGTCAGGGCGCCCGGCGATGACGTTTGCTGTTCTCCTGTCGTACTGTCTCTGACATGTGTCAGATGGTGACTAGTGTCAAAAAAGTTTTTTATAAATAGTAATTTAAAAAAGTTCTGCAGCTGTGTCACAGCTGGACAGATGTTATTGGTTAAGAAAAATAACTACACACACTTTGATAACTAAATTTGAGGTCTCCTTGCAAAGGATTGTACTTGTTATATGTTGTTACTCTGCAATAACCAGTACTTGCCACAAAAAGTAAAATATAGTAGTGCTCCCCTGTGTCCCCTTGAGAAAAGTAACAGTAGTAGAAAATTGCTTTGCAGTGTTTTGGGCGCCCACTTTAAGTTGAGGTAAAATGCTTTGTGGGCTGGAGTAGAGTGTTATAACTACGAATGAGTGTGAAGATTAATTTAGAATTCCTTGAAAATGTTTGCCAATTCCTTCCTTCCTTGGAGTGATGTATAGATAAAAGGGCTGAAGCGGATGAAAAGTTAACCACAGCCTTGCCACTGAACACACTTGCACAACCAGACGCAGCAGCAAAACACACCCACACAGCACCCAACGTCTACACACACTCCATACTAGAGAGGAAACAGATCTGTTTGTGCTTGCTAACAAGTTCACACTCACTGGCCCAAAACGGTCGCCTACTCAATCACAAGTTGTGCACTAAGGCCCAAGTACGTTTCTGCCCGACTCACCGCTTTCTTATTCTTCTTTTTGGTGCCACGGGGTTTCTTGGTTTTCTCAATGACAGCATAGAGAGCAAAGCACAGGCGGCTCATGCGAGGCAGGTCGGCCACGTTTATGTCAAACTCCAGCCTTTGATCCCACAGCGGCTCAGAGCACACTGTCACCTCGGAGCTTGTCACCACCTTACAGAGCAGTTCGCTGCCATGGAACAGACCAGCCTGCACCACGAGCTGGAGGGGAAACACACAACACGACAGCGATTAGATGGAGGCATGACGTGTGGTTTGGAAGCTGAAGAGTTTAGCACATCTGTGAGGGAGATTGTTTGTGGAAGATGTAGAGACTTCACTAGATGATTCAGTTTCCTGTGTCACTCAGACTATGAGTCAAAGGGTCTACACATTCATAACGTGAGCAGGTTACGATGCCTTTCAATGCTATGCAGAGTCAAAAATGATAAACAACCAGGACAGTCAAAATTCAATACTATACGACCATTAAGCTCCTGGCTTTTGCCAAATCAAGATAGTCTGAATCTATATTTACAAAATATATGAGTGGCTATTCTCCCCCAGGGTGTGTTTTCAAAGCAGTGCCTGCCAACTGCAGAAATGACTGATAATTATGTGACAGGACAAATTTGTCATGAGTCATGATGTGCTCCAAGGCAGCAGACGGAAGTGCACTTACACTTAATAACCCAACTAAAGAATAACATAGTTAGTTATGAAACCGAATCACAAACACAGACACACATTAACAGGGTTCCCTACTTGTCCTCTCACTCTTTTTCTTTTTTGTCAAATTGGGTTGTAAAAAGAAAAGAAAAGTGACATAGCAAAAAAAAAAAAAAAAAAAAAAAAAAAAGAAAAGGAAAAAAAGGAGAATGAGTATGTAGTGTGACTGGATATTTCTTTGTGTTCCAAGTTATTTACAGGGGGACACTTATCAAATTTGAACATAGGTCAGAACCTATCTGCAACAGTAACAGAACGCATGTATCGCCTTCAAAAAAAGAAGTGCGTTGACAGTGAGAGAGGGAGAGACAGCACAATGTCTCTCTTTTTTCTTAGAATCTAGGCCTCAGAATGAGACGTAAAAACCAGATAGGCCCTCCCCACTTCCTGTTTTGAAGTTTTAACCAACCGCCTTGATGAATTATGGGAAACGTGTGGTCTGGACCATGTGACCCACCCCCCTATCATTTACATGTGAAGCCTGCTGTTCCTACAACTGAAATTAAGATATTGGTAAACAAGTGAATGCCACATTTCATTGAGCAGCAAAGTCAGAGAAACCCACGCAAAACCACACCAACCTTCATTCCTTCGTCTGCATTGACACGGTTGCCCTGCAGCAGGTGAATGTAGAAAGGCTCATTGATGGACCACAGAGAAGAGGTGTTCTGCTACAGATGGGAGAGGAAAATTAGTTTTTCCCTGTAATTCTTTACAGTAAACTTTCATTAATAGCATTCACTCTAAACTCATAAAACTGCTGCTACAATTTCCTGTTTGGCAACATGTCAAAATATACAAGCAAGACAAGGCAATAATCAACACTTTCAAAATAAAGTAAAAAAAAGGGAACAAGCTTTGAAACTGGAAAAAAACTGACAGAAAGTTCTCCAAGGTTCAAATATGTGTTCTTATCACATTTCTTTGTGTGAATCGCTTTTCGATAAAAGCTTAAAAACATACAATAGCTTTAATTTTGCCACTGCAGTTATAAAGTAGGGTCCAAAAGCCTGACACCACTTTCCCATACACTTATAGGAAAATAAGTACATATATATATATATATATATATATAGTATATTATATATATATGTATATATATATCTATACATATATATATATATGTTCAACTACAGATAATGCAAGCAAAGGTGTCATGTGTAAATCATCTACATTATGTTGCACAGCATGTTTCCAGTGTGACAAAGTCCACGTAGGGACAACTGTGGTTAGGACTGAGAAAAGGAGAGCGAGGGAGAAAGAGAGAGAGAGAGCACCGCTCTGTTAATGAAAGCCACCAGCCGTCTGCTGCCCTCTTACCTTCTTCAGGGGCAGTGGAGGAGGTCTGGACAAGGAGCGACTCTTGTACACCTGGCTACACATTCTGCCCTGGTCCTCCTGATACTTGCTGACGGTGGAGTGGTGCACCATGGTCAGATGAGGGTTTTGGCCATTCCTCAAACATGAGAAAATGTACTGATGGAGAGAGACAACAGGAGGGGACAGAAGCAGATATTTTTTTGTTTACTGGTACAGCCATCAGTCAGTTCACCCACAGATATTTCCCAGTGTTCTGATAGCACTGGTTAACTCCTGGAGGCTGTTCATTTGCTGTAGGTTAATGCAGTTGAAATCTCATTATGTGTGGATGGATGCAGTTCCTCTCTGCAGGGCTGCTAGACAGATATGAGTCACCCCTGCAGGTAGCTGGAGTTTCAAAATCAGCAGTGGAGTCTCCTGCCACCAAAACCTTGACTCACCCCGCTCCTCAAAGAAACTCAAAGATAAACAGCATCAAATAGAAAATCATCCGCATCCACTAAGAAAATATCTGCTCTAGTGCCGACAAAAAGTGTTCAGGATTGTTGGGTTTTTTTCATCTTTTATCATTTTACAACACTGAGACACAAATAGAAAGAAAAAGACTTTTTAATGTCAGTTATTTATCCTAATAAAAGTAATTGATTGTATAAGTTTTAACAGTTTGATTTCAGAATAGACTGAAGTATTGAGTGTTTGCCCGGCTTACAATGATGCATGAGTTACGAGTGGTTAAAAAATGTCACAGTTATAAATATCCTCCAAACCCGAGCGTCCACATCAGAAGACCAAAAGTGAGGGAGGCCCCCCATCGCATCTTCTCCGCAAAAGAAGGAGCCTAAAGGGTAAAAAAATTACATGACACTAATGGAGGCACGTGGGAGCCTCTGAAACAAAGTGGAGGAATGATTTTAGCTTTATGCTAATCGCTGTTTGGCACAATCAAAACACCACGCATCAGCAAAAAAAAAAAAAAACACCAGCACAGCCATGAAGCATTGTAGTGGTGGCATCAGACTCTGGGGATGTTTCTCTGCAGCAGATCCTGCGAGGCTCGTGTGGGTAGAGAGTAAAATGAACGCAGGAAAACATGAAAATATCATGGAGGGAAAACTGGCTTCAGTCTGAAAGAGAGCTGAGACACAGGAATCGCTTCCAAACAATGTCTAAAAGTCCAAATCCAGAATTTCCGGTAGCTCTTGAACATACCTCCTCTATCAACTCTCTCACGTAACTAGACTGTGCCTGAGCAGTTTGGCAAAGATGATCAATGCCAAAAGTGTCAGAATGTGCAAAGCTTCAAATCCTTATAGACTCAGGGTGCCTCTCTAGTTCATGCTAAGGGGGGTGAACACTTACACAACCAGCATGCTTGTGTTTTATATGTGTTGTAAAGTCGGATTCTTTTGTAAAGGTTGGACACTGAATTTTCTGGGCGTTTTTGCGGTCACTCACTTTGAACTGGCACAAGGGATGATTCCCATAGATGAACTCCCAACTCCCATTGACCTGTAAGGTGTAGTCCTCCGGCTCCTGTCGCAATGAGCGAAAGACGGTGGCCTTCTTCTTCAGGGCGCTCCTCATCAGAGCCCCTGGGTGGTCCTGAGGATCCTGCTGCAGCATGAAGCTTTCCTGTAAGAGCAACAAACAATACGATTCAAGTAAAGTGGCCAGCTTTACAGAAAACCCTACAAAATGTAGCTTTCATGTCTGTGGATCTTGTTCCTGAGAGACGTTTTTGAAGGTGGTGTTTGTGGTGTGGGAGGGGGATTTCCACAGGTGCTCACATTTACTTAACATCATCCTCCACAAGCTGGAACCAGTTTTTCCAATCCAAGCTGTTGTGCTCTTTGTGGGGTTCCCTTCTGCTGCCCCATCATACCATTACATTTGATTTGATTTTTCTCAGCGCACAAATATGACTCATAAAAACTACAACAGCAGGTCAACTCACATCACAAGCCTCAAACTTGACGTTAATGAAAATCTTCTTGGTGTTTTTTGACTTTGCGCTCCCACACGGGGAGCAGCATGGCTCCAGGTCACATGGGAAGCTGTACTCCATCCACTGCTGCCATGGCAACAGCTGCCGCTCCTGAGCCTTCTCTTCGCAAAACGTGCGCATCTTAGTCCGAAACTCATTCACCTCGTGGTTCTTCTGGGCCTCAAACTCATGCAGACCTGAAAAATCATTATCAGCGCATCAAAAAGGAAGGAAGACTTCACTTGATGTGGAAGATTTTGTTGATACAAACATTCACTCAGAGGTGGATCTACAAGAGAGCCGGCCATGATTTTATTAACTGAAACTGACTGAAGTGAATCCTAGTGAAAAAGGCAAAAGGGGATATGTGATGACGACTTTGGCAACTTAATGTCATGATTGAAAACAAAGAAAGAAGAAACAGCTTCTTTTTTTTTTCTTTTTTTTTTTTTTATCAAAGTTGATTCATGTGTTAGTTTACTAACTGTGCCAATGGCTCAGAAAAACGGCTGTAATTTGATTCCCGCCACAGGCTTTAACTTTGCCAACCTCTGAGTCACTGTCTCTTTTCTCTTTTTCTTTCTTTGCTTGTTGTTGTGGCTCTTTTCCTGATTGGAACCCCCCCCCCCCCCCCCCAACCAAAAATGATGATGGTTGTTATTAGTCGACTTAAAACAACCTCCTCCTTCAATCTACGTGAAAGCAGCTCCTAGCCACAGCTTCTTTGTTACCTAAAACTGATGATGGATATTTCAGTAACTACTGGCTGGACCACGACATCAGACTGAATCATGAAAAGAAAGGAAATGGCGACTAAGTGACAGAACTCTCATCTGACTGAAGGCTGCTTCTTATCTTATACTTAGTAACTGCACAGCAATACCACCAACTGCCAAAACCAGTGTCACTCTACCAGCAGATGAGCTCCACCAGAGAAGTGTGCTGCTTACCTTTGCCAATCAGCAGGCTGATTTGGGTGTTGGTGAGTTTTTCCACTCGGTCGCCTTCCCTCGCCACCAGCCTCAGAACACACATGAAAGGCCGCACGTCGCTTATACGCCTCGATTCTTCCTCCAGTTCCTCCCTCTCTGCTGTCTGGTTGATGCAGGTGAAGACGTATGCGTCGGGATCACCCAGTGCACTGAAAAGAGCCTCGCTTCTGGCATTTTTCCAAACCATCTGAAACAAGAGACGACAGCCGAGCGTGAGGTCGAGAGCAGAGTGTTTATGGCCTGGAGTGTGCGGTGTGTTGTCTGTGCAGGTAAAATTGATGCCTGAGGGGTCGTGTAAACATTCAGAACACCTCAACCAGTGTTACTATTACTGTTTTCAATAGCAAGACTAAAAATAAGAATAGCACATTTGCCACCACGCTGATTTCCTTAATTAACGTTATGAGCTAGGACGATAACCGACTGTACAAGAAATGACCCTGGCTGTTTTTGAACATTTTATAAAATTCCTTGTGAATTACCCAGACTGGAGAGACATTTCATCTCTTAATCATCTTAACAGCTTCCAAGAGTATCATTACTTAACACAGCTAAATCAAACAGCCTGAAGTGGCAGAACTGTTGGCATAGAAACTGGCACATTCACATTTAACAGCAGATCTGCTTCAGCAGAGAGCTGGCCGTGTATACCAAGGAGGAGAGCTGCAGCTCCTTCTCTAAAGGATGGATCAAAAATGGATCAAAAGCACAAGTGAGCATTGTTCAGACTGTGCGGTGTTTTAATTAGTTTAATGCTCAAAGGAAATATTAAGTCAAGCAATTTGTTTAAAAGCATATTGAGTAAATATTGTAAATAACAACTGCATTTTGAAAGTGTGGTCATCGGAGCTGCAGTGCTGGGCTGCAGTCAATCAATTACAATCTGTTAGAAATACAGTGCTGGATTATAATAAAAGTGTCTGAGTGGGAAATCAAAGTTACACTATGAATACATGGGGATGTGAGCGGACATACTTTTTTGATATTTTTGATGGTGTCATTTGGAGACACAGGGAATTTGAGGAAGATCCCAGTAGGCAGCAGGAAGTCCATCATGATCTCCCGGACACCCTCCTTCGCCCATTCCTCCTGCATCCCATACTTCCCCGGGGGCATGGTGACTGCCTCTCATTTACCGTCAGCTCCTCTGCTGCTCACCGGAACACAAACAAGAGGAAACACAGCTGGGGTTAATATGTCCTCTATTAACATGTGTTACCGTGGATGCACGTGTGCAGTAGGTTAGGCGGTGTGATACTGTGTTTCTTGTTTGTTCCTTAAATCCTGAATGATATATCTTAGTGTGAATGGCATGAATGAAAAACACATGAAGGCTGATCCCTTCTCCATCTCCTCAGTTCTCTCCCCGAGGTGGCCTCTTCAATGCATATATAAGAATATGTCATAAATAAGATATTGAATTGTAAACTGAGACAATAGTCTTGGGAGTTTGTGTGTTTTTGTAGTTTAGTGCTGCTATCAGTTTATTATAATGTGCAGGTTAGTACACAGACTTAGTTCATTCAGCTCCACCTTCAGAGACTGAATGTTCTGTCAGAAGGAAGAAACCATTTCTCAGGGGTCAAATAAGGTGAAGGTACACTGCAAGAAACAATTAAACGCCACAAAAAATATATCTCAAAAATATATCTCATATAAATATATTTCATATCGACAGTTTAATTTCCTGCTCTTCAAGTGAGTGTGCAGACAGACAACAGTAAGTTTCGCGTGTTATTCTCAGTATTTGTCTTAAAGTAATTCTAGACTATTGATTTTGGTAAGAGGAAACTTGTGCTGTGTGAGCTGCATTGTGTGTAGCGTCAGTGTGGACTGACTTACACCTCTATATAATCATATAATAATCACATATAATCTTTTAACACGTTAAAAAAAATAAAAAATAAACACCTTTGAAATCAGCCCCGCGAAATGAAAACAGAAGGTACAGACGCAACAACAGTCCGATATAAAACGTGAGGTGGTTCTGTGTGAGGAAAAACTTGTTCAAATGTCGTGGCGAAAGCCTTGCCAACCTGTTAGCGCAGACACTTGCCTGTCAGCTCTACAAGGCGGTCATCTCCTCATGGTTTTATCACAGCGACGATGGAGGCTGTAACATCACGGGGACCTGTGAGGTTCCGGCGGCTGCAGGCTGCGGATCGATCCGTCAAGAGAAGAGAGGTGAGGGGAGGTGAGGTGATGTAAATCCAGCTCGAGCGGACGAAGTCTTTCCCTGCGTCGGTCAAGTGCGCTGTCATTCATACGGTGATGTTGTTGCACTGACTGACCCAGAGTAAGCGGCTGCGCTGTGCCTCTCCAGCCCCCAGTGGGCCAAGGGACCGTCCAACAAAAGTTTACTTCGCGGGAAGTGAAAGTAAATTTCTCTCTCTTTAACCCCCGCCCTCCATCCCTCCTTAATACTTGTGCTTTATGATCATTTTTAAATGTACTATCATTATCTTTATTGTTATTATTATTATCATACCTAAAATATAATTATCTCGTGTAGAGTTGAAATCCTTAGTGGTAAGTCTTTACTTGAATTTGTTCCACTATTTATTTTTTCATTTATATGCATATAGTTGTGGTTGTAATTCAATCTAGTTGTAAACAGAAATAAATATATTCTAAGGGTTTAATCATGTGCAGGATGTTCTTCAACAGTTCTAGCTTCTCCGTTGAAAACACGGTTCACATTATTACAACTGTGTTTTACACTGTTATCATTATCTGTTTTATCTGTTTATACACCAGCCATCTTATGAGTGCCCACAGAAATTAATCAACACTTACATCTGATTGCAACTACTTATTACTTTATTATTACTTACTTAACACAACTAATGTGTTTTCAACCATTTAATAAAAGTTAATATCCCTCTTGTAAGGGTTGAAGTATCAGTGTTAGTCGACTATCTGATAAGCTGATGGAGAGAGAATTAAGCGTTAAATATATTTATAACTGATGAGTCATTTTTCATCAAGAAATGTCAAGAATTTAGTTCCAGGATTGGCTGCTTTACTAAATAGGCCCATCATTGCGTTTTGGATGGTGGTGGAGGAAATATTCAGATCCTGTAAGTAAAAGTAGCAACACCTTAATGTAAAAGTAAACATAAGTAAGAGAAGTATAATGTGAAAAAATTAGCCTGAAGTATCAAAAGTAAAAGAATTCAATGCACAAAATGGCCCCTGTGATGATATTACATTCTTGACTATTGTTACTGGAGCTTTCATTATTATTGCTAGTGGGATCAGCATTATACTGTTGTATTTAGTCAGATGAAGCTAATTCGTAACCATTTTATAGCAAACAAATCTGAAATAATTCTCGATGTTTTAGAAACTCGTCAGATGTTTTGAATATAAACTTTATATGTAAGTAAAAAATAGCTGACGAATGAATGTAGTGCAGTAAAAAGTGCAATAATTCCCTCTGAAATGTAGCCTAGTGAAATGGAAGTGTAAAGTGCCATCAAACAGAAAAGTACAAGCACTTCATATTTTAAGAACAGTGGCCTGCTTCATTAAAATGGTCACATAAAACAAACAATTGAAATATGTCACCTTGGGCTCGGGGAAATTAGAATGGGTTAGAATTTTACAGACAAGTTGATTAATCAATTCAGCAAGAAAAAATCAGCTGATTATCAATAATAAAAATAATTGTTTGCCACTTTAATCTCTGCTTAAGGGCATCATGTATCTTAAATCAAGAAAGCTTAATCAGTTTGTCTGTCAATGACAGTAAGAAAATATTGAAAATTAAAATAATCACTAACAATATATGATATATGCAAACATAACAGTACAGTAACTACTTTCTCCTTCTGTTTTCCTTCCACCTGACTGCAGAGTTTCACAAGTCTAATGCGCTGTGACCCAAAATAGACCAGAAGTGTCAACTTGTTTGTGAAATTCTTGTAATTCAGACGGAGGTGCGGTACTATAGTGTCATGTAAGAAAGTCGAGACCCCTGTAATGTGACTTTGTGTTTTTATATATATATTATATATTCAATAAAAGGAAATTGAACTTTACAAATGAAGCTCTTGTTTATGTGCATGCAAGAATATGCAACCAGTCATAAAACACAGAAAAGAGCATTTAGAAAAGAAAAAGTTCCAGAATGTACATATAAATGTAAATAAATAAACATGCCAAAAACAAATAAATGCACAAACTGAGATTGTTTCCTAAATATTAGCCAATTAGACATTCTAAACTCTCCAGACGACTCCTAACGTTTGTTAACCACAGCGAACTTGACTTGATTTATTTGACAGTTTTCAAGAAGTGGTTGTCTTTAATCACACTCTTAGGGATGGGAAACTTTCCTTCCTTCTTCATATTTCCATATAGTAACCAGAGGATCATTGACAATTTTAGTATTGCAGCAACTAGTGAACAATGACACCACTCTCATGGAAGTGGAGCTCAAACCGCAGTAGTAGAAAGGGGAAATGATGGGGCCACCATCAACAGCATGACATTACAGCTATTCACTCTTGGCTCCACTGTGTGTTTTTGTGCATCAATATACAAACTACAGGTAAATATATAATATAAATACATGTGAAATATTTGTTGTCTCAGTTGTATTTATGTGTTTGGTTTGCAGGTGTTAATCCTTCACGGTGGTCTAGTACCTCTGAAAACTCTGGTTTCCTGTTTGTATAATGTAGGATACTGCAGTGAGCGCATAAGATCAGGCAGACTCAGTTCTTGTATTCTGAAAAACACAACATGTGTTTGTGAGTGCACTTCAGACCAGCTGGTGAAAACAGGAAGTGATTGTGCAGAAGAGAAACTTTTGGCCAGAGCTGCAGACTGAAAGTATGAACCTGCTTCCCACCCGCCACCCCTGATCAGTTACTGAACTATTTTCATGTGTGAGCCAAAAAAAAAAAAAAAAAGCCCCGCGTGTCAACAAGGTACAAAGTTGTGTCTGACAAAACACAGTGAAACTGTTTTTGACAGGAACTCAAACTTGAACCCCAATACTGCACTTCATACATAAGGGTTACAGTTTCGATTATTTCTGCTGGGATTTGAATGAAACTGCTGCAGTAATGAAGTCCCCTTTAGTTCAAAACTTGAACTTGAACTGCAAAGTGCTGTGTTGATAAAAATCACAAAAAGTTGTTTCTGTGGTGTGGGGGTGGGTGGGTCTTGCTTTACTGGATGATGACTGGATATTTTTTCTGGCCCTAGCAGGGTTTTGACAAAAATTCTCAAGAAGAAGAGATATTGATCTCAAGAGACCATCTGGAATGAAAAGGTCAAGTTAAAAATAATAATAAACAACAGCAAAAGAAATGCTGGGAAATGAAGAATGCAACAACGACAGCAAAACACTCACAAAGATAAATGATAAAACTGCAAATTATAATTTTAACGTGGATTAAACAAACCAGATACAATGTGTTACTTAGTGAATGTTAGAGGCTAGCTGTTCCCTCCTGTTTCCAGTCTTTATGCTAAGATAAGCTAACTGATTTCAGCTTCATATTGAAGAGACTGATATGTGACTGGAATTGATCTTCTCATCCGTCTCTTCACAAGAAACTATTTTCCAAAATGTCCTTTAAACTGTTAATGATTTTCTTCAGATCATGATATAAAAGACTGAGAAACTGAGTTTGGTTTTAGAGGGAGATGTACCGGAGTGAAAGCAGCGTTAACAGTCCAAAGAAATTCATGCAGTAATGAATAATTTGAAAAAGAGAAAGTGTCCTGTAAAGAGAGGGAAGGAGGGGACCTGAGTTGGATCCTTGAATGACTCACCATCACCATGGATCACCATCCATCATGTCAAAGAGAGAAGTGAGGTCTGAGAGGAGAAAGCATAGCAGTATGAAGGGTTAAAATCAGATCATTTGAGATTCTCACACAGGCTGATTCACATGTCTTCACTGAAGTGCTCCAAAAAATTACTGTGACTTAAATAGGGGAACAACTGCGATTGAACAGTCTTCTAAAGGACTTTCTCCTAAAATGAGACGCGGGACATTGGATAAAAATGTATTTAAAGGTCCCACATTTTACAATTTTTGGTGTTTCATTTGAAATTTAGATATCCACAAGAATCTGTAGTTTTAAATACCAAAAACTATCTCAATGTAGTTTTGCATCCCCGCTCTCATACTTCTCTCACCAGCTCTAGCACAAACAGGGTGATTTGTGTAGGTCTCAGAGCCTCTCCTCTAATTGGCTGACTGTTTTCTGAGTGACGTGCGGCCAGTCCAACCAGAGCGTGCGGACCGTAGCTTACTCTGTAGCTTAGTTAAACTCACTGGTAAATGGTCGGCGCTGAAATGAGCTGAACAGACGGTCAAAGTCGGACTAAAATGCTCTAGAACTTTATCTACTGGTTTCTAATCTTTCTGTCCTTGGGAGGCCTGTGCAATGATATATAATGATATATATTGGCTTCCTCAACATTTCTCTGTCTTGAAGCTGCTAGCTCAGTGACATTTTATTTAGTGCCATGATCAAAATGAGCGAATTCCTGCAAAACGAATGAGGCCTCAGCCTCAGCTGAACTTTGTGTTTAGTGCCAGTTAGCAAGCGCTAACATGCTAACATGCTAACAAATTATCAGCCAATCAGACCATGTCAAATTTGACCATCTGTCAAATGAATTTTACTGTGAAGCCCCTTGTGGAGAATAAGTCCTTCATTCCTTCTGCTATCAGGCTGCTAAATGCAGACAGTTCTCATTTTAAATGATATGTTTACATTTAAATTTTTTAAATTCAGTCATTTATGTATTTATATTATTTGTTTACTATTGAAACCATAACATAATGTGTTTATTTAAATCTATCTTACTTGTTTTATTCTTATTTATTTTACTTATCACTGCTTGTTGTTCCTTGTATTGATCAACATATGCTGATCTGTAAGCATGTCAGCATTTAGGTCCAACCACCTCCGTGCCAGAGCACAGTCTCACAGAGCCACCTTGTTTAAGGATCGGTGACGCCGTCATGTTTTAAACTGAGTAAGAGTAGAGTAAGACAACACCTGTTGACAAGACAGAGAATACTGGAGGCTACAGCGTCCAAAGACTCAATAATGTTCAGGGCAAAATATTCAGAAAGCAGGTTTTCCATTTCACAGAGACCGGTTGTACAGAAGGAGACACTGGTTTAAAATGTTAGCTTTACAAAAAGTGTTTTTTCCCTCTCAGCTTTCAGACATGAGTCAAGGACAGAGCTGTTAGAAAAACAACCAAAATGATTATGCCAAAAAGGGATTGTTGGTGTATGGCAGTTATATGAGACAACATAAAAGAGAAATTATTTAGTCTTACATTTTTCCAATATATATCAAGTTTTATCATAAAAAATTTGTAATTTATTCTTTTTTTTACAGATTCACTCAGCTTTCCCACGTTCTCTTTAGAGTGGTAGCATTCAGCCAATGTTGGGTGTGAGGTTTCGTTGTCCTTTTGAGAGGAGCAGTGTGGTAAAGACTGGTGACACAAGTCGTGGACAGAGAAAAGGTGGTGGCAGAGAAGTGGGAGGTCAAAATCGAACAAACAAAAGGGGAAGCAGCAAAAGCAACCGACAAACGACTCAAGTAAACAAAATGAGTTTGTAAAGACCAGAGGGGTTAAGAAAAGGAAACAGTGAAACACAACTGACCTGTAATGATATGAAGGCGACGGCTTGAAGTTCAGAATTTGACCTTTTTCATGTATGGGACCATAACTGTGATTGATTTGGCAGAAGATATGAAAGTTAAAATTAAAATTCAGTCAGATCTAGATATAACAACACAAGAAAAAACAGGAAGCTCTTAATCTTTTAGTTCGATCAGAAGGAAACCATGGTATTTAGTTGACCGTTTGGGATTATTTTGTGTTAATTCACACACGGCACATCCTACTGCGGGGATGTAAAATAACTCGACTTCAGGATTCACTTCTGATAAGTGAAACATTTTACAAAATTGAGAAACAGGTTAAATGGCTGACCACTTTCAGAACCTGTACAAGGAAATGTGTTAATCAGTAAGAAAGAAATCAAATTTATATACATTTATATAGTGCATTCAGAAAGTATTCAGACCTGTTCTGTTTTATTCACATTGTCCTGCTAAAATCATTTAAATTGACACATTTAATCTACATTCAACATTTGTGGATGCAAATCTATGAGCAGCTCTTTCCTTTTCTTTTAAAAGAGAATAATTGTTTTATTTATCTAGATCCATAGAAGCGTCTTTTCTTTGTCCTTGGTAAGTAATGCACTTAGTTCTTCCCTCATCAACTGAGTCAAATGCAGCCTGTCATTGCTATGGCAACATTTTAGATATCTGACTCGCCCTCAAGGCTTCTGCATAAATTCAGTGATGAAAACTTTCCATTTTTTAAAAAGAAAACCATCATCAGATTAAATACAAATGTGAAGAGGGAAAGATGCTGCAGATTGAAGGTTAGTCCCTTAGTACTGCTATCAACCAAACTACTGAACAGTAAGAGATAAAGAGTGTGTGTGTGTGTGTGTGATGGCTTTTACAGAGGGGGATAAGCAGCATCTGTGTTACTGAATGTTGCATGTGAACTGTAGCTTGATCATGCTGCTGTACCTGTGTTGTTCTTGAATGCCTGAGCCAAATTTCTCAATAAAGTCTAATCCTAATCCTACAATGTGCTGTTAGTGCCAGAAGGGGGCGAGTTAAGCAAAGCTTGCAGAGCACCCATCCATCTCACACGTCACCTAGAAATAGATTTTTGTAGCTGGACAGGAAGTAGATGCATTACACTAAAATAATTAGAAAAAAAACACTTTATTCAAAAGTATTGGTCCAGATGAAACAAGCCAATGTTGTTCCTTACAATCACACAGACCAAACAGCTCTGCACACAAACATTTGCGTTGCTGAACATAACAACCACCCTTCAAACCATTAGTGAAAATAGTGATAGAGAACATAAATTCATACTTCTACTTTCATTTGAACATAATGGTGATGTCAAATAAAAACACAATACTTTAATTACACTTTAAATACAAATTCAAAAATACATTTATTTTATCTTGAACTGAACAGTGATGAGGTTTGTCTCATTCGGGAAAGTTCAGCATGGCTGAAAGAACATTTACATTTCAACATGTACATGATCTTTCAATTAATGAGCCTTCTTCAGAGAAGAAATAAACATACGCCAGGTTACACATCACGTACAAATGCACAATTTTGTATCCAGTATGTTGAAAGGTTATGATAGCTTTCAATAACTATTATTCATTGTTCTAGACGATTCCCACAGATGTCTTTCAGTAGCAAGTTTTAGTTTTCTCAGAAGTTTTACATTTAAGTAATTATTACTTTTACTCTAATATCGGGTGCATGTGAAAATAAACAGCCAAAAGCCTAACAACATGTTTTACAGTAGAAACAAGCCAACTGCAACCTGTTCACACACATCTCACAGATGTCCAAATGCACAACTTTTTGTAAATCATATGTTCAACATTGACAAACAATAAATCAAACATCTGTGCTCTAAATCTCTAATAGAACAATTTCAAATAATATAAATGGTTATCACATATTCAAACACAACACAGCCAAGCACAAAAAAAATTGGAAAAACATTTCAGAAAAACAAGTGCAAAAATCTTTCCAAGTTAACATGTAGAGTTTGAAGTTATAAGAAAAGCCTGTATATATTTTACAGCTCAGTTAACTTCTTTCTCTCTCTCTCTCACACACAATCGCTGCCATTTTTTATGCAAACGTCATTTTTAAAGATTAGAAATAACATTTTTTATTGCACTTGACCTTAGGAGTTTAGCCCCTTTGAAAGCCTGTAACAGGATATCGATAAGAGACATCAGAAAATCAAATGGTTTGGTGAAGAACTTTTTCTGTAGTAATTGTGACATGTCACTTTGGTATGAGATATATAAACAAATGGCCATCATAATAAACGTGTATAACAAAACGCACCACTCTTTCCCAGCTGAATATACAGATGGGTGAAAATTTAAAAGGAAAAACCTGAATAAATGAGTGTAGAAACGCACTGAGTGTCGATGCTTCCACACAAGTACACTGCATGGTACAGTGAAACATGCTCTGTGGCACTGTACTAAACACTTTGTTGGTTTTTCCTTTGATTTGTCACCCGTCTTTAGAAAGACATTGGCAAACACCAGTGCTGTGAAATTATGACATTATATAGAGTGAAAATCTGTAGAAATTTCAAAAATGCAAAACCAATTACACACCATAAATATTACGTGCTGCTTAATGCTTTCTGATTTTGGCTACCGTAGAGTGGAAATATAACACTCATCACAATCAGTATACCATAAATTCTCAAAATAGTGGCCAAGGCCTTCATTTACCCATTTCTGGGACAGGCTCACATGAGAGACAGACCGTTATTCTGATTTCCCCATATTCCCAAATTAATGCAAGCTAAACTTTTGCAACATTTACCTGTTGTCTTGATTAAAATCAGTACAAGGTCTGTCTATTTCCACATCACTTATTCCATCATTACAGCAGGACTCAAGTCAGGCGTTCCACTTTGGCTTTTAATGTGAAAAAACATCAAGAAGTGTTGAGTTTTGTTGACAATGATCAGGAGTACGCCAAAGAAGAAATGGCTGGAATTAGTATGGTATTAGGAGTATGAAAACATTATTTTTTTTCAAAAGAAAAAAAAGAAAAAAGAAAAAAAAAAAAAGAAATGACATGACATGACTCTTGTACTGAAATTATGCTGCTCTTAACATTTCAGCTGTTTGTAGCAGGCTACAGACAATTCACCCAATTAATTTTTTCTATCCAGCGTATTTGTGACTTGGCCATTATTTGAATATCAGATTTTATATATGAGAATTTACAGTAAGTAGCTAAGACATGACCCTCTGTGTCTGAGCAGCATCAATTGAACAGTACAGGTTTATTGCACATTTCACAGCATGGTTTTTAAAAAGCTATCAAGCATCAGTGCAAGAAATGAGCCTTTTAAAATGAATTACACATGCATCTGTGTTCATTTAAGAGGAGCGGTGACAAACCAAAAGACGAAGCAAGGCCAGATCAGAAAAGCCAAAATATTCTTGAGCAGTCATGAACCAAAGTCAAAAGTGTAATATTTGATTTCACCTTACATTTTTCTTCTAATCAAAAGGGAGGTATTGCTGTTGAAAATCCATCAGCTGACATCTGTATTTTTACTAAGCACCAACATACAATAACTGCCAGATGTTTTCTGGCATTGCTGAATGACCTCAAGGTCTACGGACATGACAGGGTTGTCAAGGGCCAGAGGCCGATTCACTCTGTGCAGGTCACAAAAAAGAGCAGCAGACCTTATTAACAGTTCATCTCCAGTAGTGGTACATACAGAGACAGGCGAAGAACAGGTTGGCAGTCAGGCTCCCTATTAAAAGTCCTGGGAAGAGAAGACGCTTCACAAAACCTGGAGATGTCACAGAGAAAGCAAATTCATTTCATGAGAATCATCATGATTATGCATCAATGTGGCATGAAGGTTTTTCCATTTTCTGCACATGTTTTACAGTTATGTTACTGTCAGCCAATATATTTTTCCTAGTTATAGTTTAGGTACAGGAGCGGACCATGATGAGTATTTTGAGACCAGTGTATTTTCTGAATATACAGATTGCATAAAACCCTGCCTTCACAAACAGGGAAGCATCGATCTGATACCAACCTAAATAAGTCAGATCGGGTATCAACCAAATGTCACAGGTCCAGATCAAATACACTCACCATGCATTTATAACACCTATACTTCTGTGGCAGCAGTGCTATGCAAATACAGGACAGGAGCTTTAGTTACTGTTCACATCAAACATCAGAACGGGGAAAAACTGTGATCTCAATGACTCAGTGGCATGATTGTTGGTGCCAGACGGGCTGGTTTGAGTGTTTCTGCAACTGCTCATCCCCTGGGATTTTCACACACAAGAGACTCTAGAGTTTACTCAGAGTGGTGTGAAAAATAAAACAACCAAAGAGTGTCAGTCCTGCGAACAGACATGCCTTTTCACGCGGGGCTGGAAGAAGGACTCTGAATTTAGAAATGCTCACTGAGCCTTTCAGATTAAGGGAGTCTTTGTTAATAAATATATATATACTGTATATTTGCCAGAGTGAAAAAAAACGTATACTCTTGGATACTGTATTTTCATATACGCTCCTTTGACCCTACCAACAAATCCAAATGCTCATTTCTATTTTTATGATTGTTGTAGTACTCTCCTTATAGTTTCATGTAAAAACATGCATAAATTAACTGTCTATAAACCTCTTTTTCATATAGTCTCTGGTTGTATGTAGAACATTACCTGCATTTGTTTAAGGACAACAATAATGTTACTTTTGTGCCTCATTCCTGAGCACGCAGTGGGACATTTCTGAGCACAGACAAATAATTTTTACAAATTATATTTTGAAGAGAAAACATTTTTGAGTAAATAACTTAACCTGAGCAAAAAAATCTATTCTGTGCTCAATAAATGTATTTCTCTGTTTGCTATTATCCACATAGTCGCACAACACTAATGTCTGTCATTCAGTTTTAGTCAGTTGTTCTCTCACAGATCTCTTCTGTTTGCACCTGCAAGCTTGCTCAGTCTCTGCCTTGCGCTCTCAACATGTCTTCTCTGGCTGCGCTCAACTCTGCCTCCACCCTTGCTCAATATTACACAGCGTTACAATGTGCCACAATCAGACTTGGAGAAAGTACCGCTGATTGGCTGTTTCATCACCAATTAGGTCACTAGTGCAGTATTCCGGAAGCACTGTTAAAAACCCAGTAGAGAGCGAACCCTGGATGTATGGCCAAGTGGCAACCTCTGAGGCTGAAAAAAATGAAGCCAACACAGAAGCACCAAAAACTGTTCTTCAAATGTCCACTTGAGTCTGGCTCCAACAGTGAGTCAGTCTCCATGGACTCCATAGTTAAAATGTCCAACACACAGCAGAAATAAACATGTTTACAGCCTGGTACAAAAAAAAAAAAGAAAAAGAAAAAAAGAAAGATTTGTTCTCTACGGTTAATTTCCTCCTTCATGACAACTGTACAGGGGGTGAATTTTTATATACTGTAATTCACCTGTTTAAATTATATTAATGCTTAAAGTTCTGCATAATTGAGGGCGTGGCTGCTTTAAGTGACAGGTGGGTGAGCGTATCCTTGCGAGATGGGGACGATGGAGCAGCTCACTCTGAGCTTCAAGACCGCTCTTCAAAAACTGGAGGCTACGTCCATCTTCATTTGCAGTCTATGTGTATGGCACGTACCACAAAGGCTTAGTCTGAACTGCAGCAGCCACAGGTTTGAGTCCGACCCGTGGCCCTTTGCATGTCTCCCCTCTCTCACTAACTTTCCTGTCTCTCTCACTGTAGCCACCTGAATAAAGGCAAAAAATGCCCCAAAAATAACAACAATAAGGAAATAAAAAGGAAACTAAATCAAGTGGAGCTGACAGATTTGAATTGGATTACAACACATATTTGGTGAGTATTTTTATTATTGATTTATGTGATAGAAATGCCTGTTTTATTTAGTGTATTATAGTGCAGATTGGCTTCATACTTCATATTTTGTCCATACATCCAGGGTATGTGCTCTACCGGGTTTTAAACAGTGCTTCTGAAATATGATAGTAGCGAACTGATTGGTGACGAAACCGCCAATCAGGGTTAATGTCTTAAAGTGTGATTGACAGGTTTCGTGGCACATTGTAACGCTGCGAAATGTTGAGCGATCGTGGAGGCAGAGTTGAGTACAGCCAGAGAAGACATGTTGAGAACTAAAACTGAGTGACAGACATTAGTATTGTGCGACTATGTGGATAATAGCAATTGGAGAAATACATATATTGAGCACAGAATCGATTTTTCTTGCTCATGTTAAGTTATTCTTTGCTCAAAAATGTTTCCTCTTCAAAATATAATTTATGTGTTTGCAAAAATTATTTGTCTGCGCTGCGTCCCACTGTGTGCTCAGGAATGAGGCACAAAAATAACGCCATACACAACAGAGTAATCATTGGACAGAGCACTGAAGGCCTCTCTTCTCCGTTTAGAAAAATGTTATACTTTTATCTTTTTTGTCTACCACCTCGTCCACTTAACTAATAGAAAGACTGTAAATACGAGTTCCTAGGTTTAGCAGGGATAAAATAAGATTTTCTTTTTAAAGTATTCTGTTGCAAGTTGCTCTAATCAGGTCAATTTATTTGGATATTACAGTCCACAAGGCTGTACAGTAGATATGAGCAAGCCTATCCTTTAAATGCTCTATATCAGACCAGGATTACAATTTTGTTTAAGAAGGACTGGGACCAAGATGTGGTTATGACAACCAGTTAGACAACATGAAATCAAAACTGAATGATTTCTGACAGTTCATGGACATAAATTCCATCTCCCTGCCATGTTTAAAATCAGTCTGCTTACCTTTAGGAGGAGGCGCGGTGCTTTCCAACCCCTGTGTGGTTGTGCCAACCAGGCATGCGGAGGACCCAGAGGAGCTGCCTGTGTCGCTCTTCTCTTCCTTATCAATCACACTGCCGTCTCTCATACTCAAATCTGCAACCAGATAAATCATGAAGTCATGGAATCAGGTAAATGATGAAGCCATATATAAAACCATCCAAACATGAAGTTAAGGAATATATTTCATGGTTGCGAAATCTTTTCTCTCTTTAAAGCCACTATATGTAGGATTTGGGATGGTTTATTTTCCCATCTGGTGTCAGTATCATGAATGACACTCACTGCAGGGAGACAGCAGTGCACAGTGCCACAACCCACTACAACAAACATTTTACTATAAACAGTTTAACCTCAGGTGTACTTACCATGTTGGCTTTGAAAGGGTGATATGTCAGGTGAAAAGCAGCCATTGTAAATGGGAGAGGCCGGCCTTCCAGTGGAATATAATGGCGACACAGGTGGGGGTGAGAGCTTGGGTTCTGGCTCTGTTGAGAAAAGCCACAGTTTCTGGCTACAAATGTTGAGGCGAGCAGGGCTGATGAGCGGGCGGCGTTGTCTGGCAGAACCTGAACTGGATGTACATGACCCAGCTATTGAAGGAGGTGGAGAGGGGCTTGGTGATGATGGGCGGCTCCCAGACTTCAGTGAAAAGTAGTCTGTGCCAGAGAAGCAATGAAGAATGTAAATCAAGCGCTCTAAAAGGCTTAGGAATTGTTTAAAATACAGGGCTCAGTAGAGATAACAAAATTACCAGGCGTTTTAATACCTGACGGCGGGGAGTCTTTGTATTGTGAGGCTGGTCTGCTTCCGCTAAACAGGTAACCAGAATCTGAAAATAAATAAAAAATATACATATCGCATCATTCACTACAACCATGTACCAGGGCTTTCCTTAAACCTACATTCACCAGTCAGTGTCAGTTGGTCAGAAAAACACAACCCCAAATTAAAAGTTTCTGTGTCTGATAAACCTAAAAATAGGCAACTTTATGACAACATATTAGGCCATAACAATATTACAACTGAATGGTATTTAATAGTGGTTTATCAGTTAGGGTATTAAGATGATTTTCTGCCCCCTGGTGCCAAAACAATTATTATTAATTTGTCTGCCAATGATTTCATTGGCTAATCATTTGATCTAAACAATCTAAGAATAAAAATATGATGAAAAATGCTGATTGCAATTTCTTCAATTGTAAGGTGAAGTCTTCCAATAGCTGGTTTGGTCCAAAATTGTTGCATAAGAAACAAAGCCTGGCAAATCCTCAAAACTGAGAAGATGGAACTCAGTAATATTAAGAAACGATAATACAGCAACAGGACCCTTTATTGTTCTTCCATAATATACGTTAAATGCAAAGTCTTTTGCAATTTCATCATGAAATATACAAAATAAAATTTAAGTAATTAATTAGCCAAGCCGAATTATTGGCCAATATTAGCTGTATGTGGCATTATGCTGGCCAACAGGTAAAGAAGTTACAGTACAGAAATGCCAAAGACATGTGGCACCACCTTCACTACAAAGTTTATCCTCCAGATGTCAGATAAGTTTGTTTTATTTAAACTGTAAAATGATATGATTAAGATATATATATATATATATACACACACACACACACACACACATATACATAGAAAGCAAAGCGTCTTTCCCACATTTGCAAACAGTGGCATGACCCAATTAAATGCCAAGTAGCAGAAACTGAAAGTACAGCTGATGAATTTTATCAATTATAGATCTTGTCTGTATGCAAGGCAGCACAATGCAAGAAGCAACTCAAGATCAAACATGTCTGAGCAGCTATGGGAAGCTAATGCAACAAAAACTGTAGACAGAAGTGGGCTGAATATTCCTATTTACCCTGACATTTACCAGCTACTTGAAAAAGAATTTGCACTACTGTGTCAATTATCTGTAGTTTTTTAATCTGCCAGTATTAGATTAATGTTTTTGTCTGTCAACTAAGAAAGATAATTTTGATGTTACCTGTCCTTTTGAAGGAGGGTATGGTGCCAAGGGAGAGGGCTCTACTAAGGCGCCCAGGCAGAGAGGAGGGGGAATCGTTGCACTTGTGACGACTCTGTTGGCAGCTGATGAGCTTGGAGAGGTTCGGGGGTGGGGTGGGGATGAAGGACTCTGCCAGGTCAGGAGAGAGCAAAGGAGGCTGGCTGCTGAAGGGGGGGACTGCAGAGCTGCCTGCAAGGTATCTGCAACACAAGAGCAACGCAACGGTCTACTACCAGAAATCAAAATTGTATAACAAAACTGTCCAATGGTTTCTATATCACAGAATTAGCTAAACAAAATACTTTTGTGCTAAAACAGTGCAGTTACATTAGATGACTCCACCAAGAGCATTACAAATAGTGCTGTAAGTGCACTGAATTTTCAGTTTGGGGTTGTATGTGTAAAGAAAAGTCCTCAAATGTGATTTAGGTTCCACACCAATGTCAATATACAACATTCTTGACATTAATATATATTCTGGAATATATAACAGGTACAAGAAGTGTCTGAAATCAAATCAATGCTCAATCTTTGTTCCACTAGAGCACTTTATTGATGGCAGCAGTCTATGGCACGGCTGTCACTAAAATGTTGCTGCAGCTGTTGGACAACACAAAACAGCTGAAAGTGCCTAGAGAACCAAGCTGCATGAGAAATGCTGCCCAGCAGTACTGCTCAACACACTCACATTTTCACAACACACAATCTGTGGCCTGAAGATTTTATGTGTCAATCTAGTTTCTTTTTCGGTTGCAATCAAGTTTAGGCTTAGAAAAACCAGAACTACATCTGGCAGTTGTATGTCTCAGCCATTGCAGAACATTATGATGCGACAGTGAGGGTGACCTTCAATCGTTTGGATATAAATAGTGAAACCTTTCAATTTAATCCATTTAGACATTTGCGTTAAATTGTGTCAATAAGCGTATGAATTCATGAATTATGGTCAAAATTGTCTTTCTTGAGATCAGTGACCTTTGACCACCAAATTGTAATCAGTTTACAGTTTTGGACTCGAGTCCAAGTGAATGTTTGTCCCAAATTTAAATTCCCTCAAAGTGTTACTGAGAAACCGCGCTCACGAGAATGGGACAGACGGACGTACGGATGTACAAACCGAAAAACACCATGTTTCTGGCCCTGACTGTTGACAGCGCATAACAGTCACAGCAGTCAGGGCTAACATGAAGCTGACATTTTCCTTAAACATCAATGCTGTGTAATAAAGTTACTATTTCAAACCAGACAAACATACAAGGAGACAAGACAGTGTGTTTGTATTGACGAAAAACAAACAGAAGGCATATCCTTTCACCAGTTGTTTATTACATTGAATGTACAGCAAGCATTCCTACAAAGTCTTCAAACTGGAGCCTGACATTAAAAGCAAGACACCCAACTTCAGCAATTCAGCACCCAAAAGACAATACGTTTCATTGGGTATGTTGCAGGAAGCATTTCAGCATTGGTTGAGCTCCATTTCTGAGGCTGCTACATAATGTATAAATATCATGATCTGATCAAATTGAGATTTGATTTCATTAGCTTATTTGTACTATTGACTGGAACTGAAAATTATTGCTTAACTGTGTTAAAAAGTAACCTCTCTCTTTTAGTATTGGGTCTTTTAGTGTTTCTGCAACACACACACACACACACACACACACATACACACACATACATACATACACTAAAACATTTAGGTATAACATTATCACATTTCAGCTACATATTGGATCCGTAGAATAACACAGTGCATTAAAAATATTAACATTCCCGGTTCCATTAGTAAAAAGGTAGTTCTATAGCTATCACTGTTAAAACACTACAAAATATGTTTGTGGCAATGGTATAATGTTGAAGTTGCATATGGCAACTTAAACTTGTGATTAAAATACAAGTGTAGTACTTCAAGAGCTAAATGCTTGACACAAATGAAGGTTAACAGTCATAGTTCAAGTAGATAAAGGAACTCTCTAAAAAACACAAATATAGCCATATACTTGACTATATATCATGAATATATCATAGCATAAACATGCACACTACAGATTTATAGTGAACACAAACAATTTAGCAGAGCATGTAAAACATTGGCAAAGATGATACATTTTAAGTTGTATCTTACATACACAAACAAAAAAAGGTAAATAATATTATTATGTTGTACTAGCGTTAGAATATCTTACTTTGAGAACGCTGCCAGGTGCAGACCATTGAGCTTCCACTGTCAATGTAAATCCATCAAAATTAAAACACATCACATTGCTTTATTAAAACATATGTGGCTCTCTTGCCTCCTTCAGGGTGGATATACATGTGTTTTAATTTTGATCATTTTGATTCGTCTTAGTCAAGAGTTTAAGATGCAGTCATTCACGTGATGTATTTTATGAAAGGTAGGGAGCTACTCTAGGTCATTACTGATAGACGCTATATTACAGAGACTATATAGCATTGCAAACTTTGCATTTGATGATTTTTTTCCAAAGGCAAAAGTCAAATTAAGCTTCAAAACTTGAAAATTATTCTATATGAATAGTAAAAATTATACAGAGTCAATACCTTGCTCATAACCTACAAGTGCATCTGTAGTGTCTTAGATTTGGCAGCAAAAATTCACAATTTAAAGCTTTGAGATTACTGCACCGGAGGTGCTGGTTTGAAAACATAAATCCATCTACATGACAGCACAACATGCAATTTAAACTGTACTCTACCCACCAAATACAATTTATAAGTACTCTCTACAGCTATTAGTTTGCAATACCTAATGACATTGCTGTCAAATAAATAGGCCCATTCACTCAATACATTCCAACAAGTAAAAGAAAAATGGGTTAATGGCAATACATTGGCCAGGTGAATGTTAGTGCATACAACTCAGTCAGTTTCGTCCATCGGTTTTGAATACATCAACATGTTAGACTGTTGGTAAAGGAAAGTCCAGTGTTACTGGAAGTGTTCAAGTGAAGCAATAAGTGATAGAAAAATCCAATATATTTTGCTGCATGTGATAATGCAGCGTTTTCAGATTTATATTCTATTTAAATAAAAATTTGCAAGAGATGACAGTCCAACATCTCACTGAAGAAAGGTAACCCTTTCTGGACAAGCATTAACCGTGTACGTCAAATATTTCTAATACTGCTGAGTTTTTTAGTGGCTTATCTTGCATGAGCACGACATGTGAGGCAAAACCTTACGTCACGCATCAAGCTTCATAACTAACATTTTTACAAGACACAAGATACAAGAGTTCCTCTCAATGACCACAAACAGTTGAGCACTTTGTAACATTTACAAGTTCAAGCACTGATACAACAAGGCCGCCTGAAACTACTACTCTGGCATGATTACCCCAAGAAATGCCAAGACAAAGCAAGTACCTGCCAGGAAGTCATCTAGAGGCATTATTTTACGCAACAGCTTTTGGCACAGCAAAATACAAAAATAACCACATATCATGCATGGGAAAATGTTCCAGCTCTGCCTTGAGAACTGATAAGTTGCTTCAGCACTGATGTTGTATTCCAAGGAAATTCCTTGCAGATGTCAGTCATGAATAGCGACGGTCAAAGGCGTCACGGTGAATACGTTTTAGAAATGTCCAAGGCCATTCTTTGTTCAGAAATTGTAGATGTGAAACAATACAGGAGGGGACGTGATTACTCAAAAATCATATCTTGAGTATGGCCTGCAGTGAGTATTTCGTGCAATGAGCTGTAGGCTACATCCACACCAATACGTTTGAGTTTTAAAATGCATAACTTTTGCTATATTTACACCTGGTGTCCACACTACTATGAGTTTGAGCCCCTAAAACGGAGACTTTTGAAAATGCTGCTGGCCCCGTTTAGTTTGTAAACTCCGGAGTTGCCTTTTCGTCTGGAAAAACTGAGATGTTTCGAAATGAAGACGCAGGTGACCCTTTTTCGGAGGAAAACAAATAGCATCAGCCTCAACTCATAGTGGTCAAGGTATGTCTTTGCTAGGAGCTGTTATGCAGTTAAATTCTGCATTTTATAGTGCTAAGAAAGAAGTCTCTTTTCACCATCTTTGTTTTTTGTTTGTAGTAGTAGACAATCTGGGCATGCACATATCAGTGTAAATATGAAGCAGTCTATGTCAATGGTCATGTGATATGCATTTTCAGGTATGTTCGTATGGGCGGAGATGATTTCTGATACTGAGCTCAAAACACTTGTCTGGACGGAGATCATTTTTGTTTTATAACAGTGTTTTAAACTAGAAACCTTTTAGTGTGGATATAGCTGTAGTTAGTGAACAATTTTCTACACAGTCACATCGGATTGTTAACAAGTAGGGACATTCAAAATGCTTTTCCACATTACAGTACAGTTTAGAATATATAGGATTAGTGCTAGTTGGGTACTTGAATTCTTCGTAAGGAATTTGCAAAGCAAATAATCACAGCTTCAAAAACAGGATGAACCAGAAAGAAAACTGTGGGACAATTTCCCACAGAGTGTACTTTTTAAGTCTTGAGAGATGGTTACTAATAATATTTCATTAGTGTTTGCATGTATCAAAACGGCAAAATTATTTTAACCTCCACAGATCAAGCACACATGTACTTGGTGTCAAATTGCTTAGTTTCGTTAGGGTTGATGAAGCAAGTAGCACTAGACTCTTGTTCTTGTCATAAGCCACACACACAATCCTACGCCTGACGTTTGTCATTCACATGTCATAACTTCAGTCATTCACACACAGCAGTAAAACAGGGGAGTTATGGGTAAAAAGTGAATTTAAACCGGTGTGACCTTTGTTCTGTTAAGAAACAAAAAATGAAATAAAATAAAGGGAAATTGAAAAGCTTAAGCTTAATGTATTCTGATCTGGCTCTAATGAACACAGACCTCTCATGGAAAGAGGAAACTTTACACAATCCCATGTTTCAAATACAATTTGAATATTACTGCTCAGATTCTGACCTTCGATATTTGCCTCTTCGTAGATCCAGTGGTTTGCGAGTTGCCACAGCAGCAGCAAAGCTGACTAGGCAACAGAGAGAGATGCTGCTATGCTTGGCTGTGTCCATCCAACCCGAGGCACCAGCCAAGTAGCTCTCAGCCAGGTACAGGCACAGGATGAAGAACCACAGGACAGAGGCCACAGCATCAATTCTCCTCAGCCTAAAAATGCAGACACACATTAACTTGCAGAGTTGTTGTGAAGACTGTGATAAACTTGTCTGACGCCAAGAGATGCCGACTGCTTACCTTGCAGGCCCTGCTAAGAAGATAGCAGTGAGGCAAGTCAACAGGCCAACCGAGACTACAGCCAACTGGTTGTCCCTTCCATGTTGATACACCAGCTTGGCATTTTCTATGGCCTTGTTTGGGATCAGCTCCAGCAGACCCTGCCATACAGGCACATCTCCACTGCTTTCATTTTTAGGGGTGGATTCATTGAAGAGTTTAGGAGGAGTGACCCCACCACTTAATGTCTGTGGGCCACTAGGTGAAAGACTCTGGGCCGGCAATTCACAGAAAGATGTAACAACCAGGAAAGCAGATAGCAGGAAGGCAAGTGCCCATAACAGTGTGACCCCGATGGGAGAAGACAGAGAATAGGAGCTCTGTAGGGGAGAAAACATGTTTTCATTTTAAATCCTGACAGCTGTACAACAAATGGAAAAATTAAATTAATTACTACTGTTACTAATTGTACATGTTATAAGAACAAGCCAACGATATACAATGGAGGAGCTGATTCATGGTTTTCACTTCTACCAAATATTACAGCCAATTAAGACTGTTAAGCCAATTAAATAAAACTAACTGAAAAGGCACCGCCTTTTGCACTACAACTCAGACATACTGATGACTTGAATTGTCTAAATGTATCAAAAATACTGGACTGTTACTGTTTGTGTGGGGGAAGAAAATCACAGCCTTCTACAATCCATACACAACTTAATTCTTGAATCAAGGCATGCACTAACCTCCCCTTAAGAAATAAAATCCCATCTGAATGGAGTTTAAGTTCTTTATAAGTTAGAGTTTCGTTAAGCTTGTGGTTGTGTGTAACTGTGTGTTTCCCTTATATGGCTGTTGCTGAATTACAGTCAGTGATCTTGAAATTTCACATAGTTAATTTGCTAAAAGCAACCACCACAACTTGCGCTTTCTACACCGCATATAGCTGACTGCAGGTTATACAAAACTAAGGGGACCCTACCATACACCCACAAACAAACACACGCACGCAGTGACGTCACCATTTAGGCTATTCATTAATGTTTGTGCAGCAGCTGGCCAATTCACTCCGGACAAGCGGCATACATCTGTAAAGAATGTATGCTGTAAATTGTTTTGATTGCACAAATAATGTGCAAATATACGACTCCCTACTTTGGAGTTATGTGGAAGTTAATGGGCTGCTAAGGTCTATGATTAAGAATGAATTGTTTAATTTCTCAAAAATGGTGGAAGCAGAAGTTTTTATTTTGCTTGCATGAACAAATATCCTGATCATTTGGTGTGCCAACTTCAAAGAGGACCACTCTTAGACTAAACTGGTGTCACTTTTTTCTGTACACTTCTGTACACTATTGATCAAATTTTATTTGAATTTTCAAATGAGTCTGGAAGACTGGCCCATTTAAGTTTATATCATTTCTATTAATGTTGTATAAAAATAATTTAAGTAATTTCTGGTGTTGAGGCAATTAATTTGTCGACATTTATTACTACAGCTACACGACCGGTCAGAATGTTTTAGAACACCATAATTTTTTCTGCTGATTAAATTTACATAATTCAATGTCTCAGCAGCAGAACAGAGAACAAAAACAATTGGGAGATTTAAAAGAAAAATCTAACATTTAGTACAAATCTGTGATGCATCCAGCAGCTGAACACACTTATGACATTCTTTCTACAATGGAAATTAAACATTGTATGGAAAGTATGTACTAACATTGTTGCAGAAGTTCCCACAAATGTGTTGCACTTTTAGGTTTCTTTACTTTCACCTTCTGTCCTGTTCATCCTAAACCACCCCCATGGGGATTAAGTCTAGAGGCTGTGCTGCTCTTCCTTCATGTTGAGTCTCTGCCTAGCTCTTTTATTCTCATGTATTGGGTCATTAGTTTGCTGTAGAATAAATCCCTGCGCAGTCAGTCTATCTTCCTTTGCTAGCTGCCTTTTTCTCACCATTCTGATAGAAATATACAGTACAGTGTTGTCCTAATCATACATCAAAGGGTGTAGTAACACGGTTCGTTCCAACACTGCCTTTGTAAAGACAGGGGGTTTTGTAAGTCATCAACTTAAGTTGGGGCACCTGTAGGAATTGTTTGCATTAACTTGCAAGAACTTATTAACTTCCATTGATGCAGGAAAGCTGCAAGTTAACCAGTTTCCAAGTCCCTGAAAAAGGCCCGTTTTCCATGAATTTTACACGGTTTTTGGTGAAATTACATTAGTTTTTGGTGAACTTAACTCTCCTTTTACCTCGGGGCAATTAACCACTTGTCTTTGTACAATTTAAGGTTATTCACTGGAAAAATGGATGTGTTATAAACATTTTTTCCGATAGCGTCTCTAGACCTCAAGAGCCCTTCAAGGCAAACATGAATAACCCCATCTATAACAATTCTAAAGGATTCTATAGTTGTTTCAAGCCATTTCTCCACTAACACATGTAAATACATGGACAGCGTTGCACACTCGTCAGCATGTGCACATAAAAGAGGTGAATAATTACAAACCTAATAATGCACCATAATAATAATAATTATTATTATTATTATTATAATTATTGTGGTAGCATAAAGATTCAGTAAGGTAATACCATACAGTATAGACACAAAGCTAAATTAGTACGAGAATAAAATCTTATAATGACCAAATACTGACAAGACTAGGTCAAAACCTAGTATGTAGCTGGACTGTGTATGGTGAATGTGTGAAATTGGGGACATAGTTGAAAACTATAGTGGAACAGCTATAAAAAAAACTGACCTCAATGTGTCGAATTTGCATTCTGCCTAGTGTCAGCTGGTTTCAGCCCTTTATCCATTTGCTTCTCTCCTACTGTCTATGCTCACATATACATCATTTTAATACATCCAAATTCCCAATGAAGCTGTCCTCAAAATTGTGACTGAAACACGGCCCATTTAGACGACATGTTAGCTTCCACGACTGTTAAAAACTTTATTTAATAACCGCTAAGTCATCTGACAAAATCACCAAACGCATAGATTAAAAACAAAGACTGTGCTTTCAGCTATATTTACGTGTAAAATGATCACTCAGAGAGAAAGTTAGGTGACAAAATATTCTTATTTTGCACACAGCCTCCCTCTGGGAACCACAACACTTTTCAAATGCTGCATTTGATTGGTCCCTTTATTTACCTCAAATGCAGTAGGTACTAGGCCTTCATTTAAGGCAGTCTTGTATTAGAAGAATTATTTCTAATTCCCTCTGATATGTATAATTGGTCATACCAGTATTTTAGTACAAAGCCTAATTTATAGTAGCTCCTATTTGTCATGTTAAAGTTACTGCATTATGTCTTAATACAAACTGAACACTTTCTGTAAGCGTATCAAATTAGGAGCCCTCTAATGTTTCAGTGGAGAGAAACCCTTTATTTCTTAACAGGGCTTTTATTACTATGCTGACATGCTACAGTAAGCATATTGTAAGTAAGCAATTTCCAGTTGCTGATGTGTCTGTTGTTTACATGCTATTCAGATCTTCTCTCTAAATCTTGCTAGAAACTGTTTAACGCCAATTTATTTCGAGAGAGCAACAGCCAATGGGGAAACACCAGCTCAGTCACGTGGCATTCGGCTGACCAATGGTGGAATTATGTTGACTAAATCAGTCAGTCAGACATTGACATTTGCGATTATAGGGCTGGCCCCACTGTTGTGGTCCAGCCAAGACTAACTGCTTGTGAAGTTGTGGTTTTGGATTTGGGTTGTGCTGACCTTAACAAAGCCCTGGATTGAGTCTCGGGTACGTCGAAGTTGGTGGCTGAAGAGCACTGTACGTAGCTGGCGGTTTTGATATTTGATGTAGTATTCCACGGCTGTCTGACACGGCCTGCATAACTTATAAGTCTGCTCCAGGTGGTGCTTGTAGGCTTCAATTTCCTCATCATAGTTTTCCTACAATAGAAACAAACAATAATAAATTAGGCATTAATCATTGTAACTGTATATGATGGGTTACAGTGAATGGAAAAAGTAAAGTACACATACATCATCCCTAGGGATAAATGAGGCCAACTTCTTGATCTTTGTAGACTGATTGTTATTGCACTTCTTGCACAGCAGCATCTGACAGTTCACCCACTGCTGTGTCTTGGGTGTCTCAGATGCGGGAAGACTTCCAGATACTCCATGGTTGAGATGTGCCTTATGCTGAGCTGGGATGGTTTTGTTGTAATCCCCATTCTGACACAGGACAGATCAACACAATGAAGAACATAAAAAAACACACATCTCACAATATTGGTAAAAATTAAAAACAAATTCACTGCAGTTTACCAAGATGCCAAGAAAATAATTCACATGTGTCATACTTTTCTAACTCACCTCCTGGAAGCCATTGTATTGGTCACAGTTAGGACAGTCCCAGCAGTTCCTGTTCCCATAAGGCACCACTGTGTTCTCATTACAGAACCAGCAGTTGACATTTATATGGGTAGGCTTTTTTCTGAAAGGAAAAAGTGGAGTTCTTACATGATGCGACGTGACACAAATGACAACCTGTCTGAGTTTCAAATGTATCCCATAGTGTAATCCAGAGACCACATGGGTCCTTGAAGTGCTCCCAGAGGCTCACGAGAGTACCACTACTATATAAATGATGAATATGTATGAGTAATTGGAGTACACAGTCAAAAATCACGTCAATCCGTATGGAGGACCTTGGCGTGCAAAAGTTTGCTAAGTTGATAATACAGAGTCAGGGCGAATACATATTTTATAAAGTTTTGCAGTCAATAGTTTTCAAACACCAAAAACTAGTATATCCGCGCATTCAAATAGTGAAAATTTACCTTTATGTTAGTGTCACAAAACTAGGTTAAGTTAGTTAGCACCACGGCTAGCTAAGTTAGCCCATGGGCTAGCATAGATAAATAAACCTCTCTCGGGAAACGGTTGTATCGTATACAGCACAATTTTGAACATCCAATGCACATTTTAGGCACGTTTGGTGACTCGATCTAACGTTAACGTGAACCTAGCTAAAAACAAACGCGGTGGTGCAAAATCTTGAAGTTAACTTACCTGGTGGCAATTTTGTATATCAGCGCTCCGCCGGCAACAAACGCCGTAACTCCTACTCCTCCGTACATCAATTCAGGGTATTCCAGTAGAAGCTGGTTAAAGGCTTCCATTTTCCACGGAAATGAGCAGTAAACAAGCAAAGAAAAACATAGGAATTTAGTGTTTAATGGTTTGGCAAAACACGGCGCCTCGGCGCACGCGGCAAACGATCCCCTTTTGTACACACCCCTATAACGGAAACGGAACGTGCGTAACCGCCGGGACGCGTCCAAATATTTTTATTCAATCTTTCCTTATTGACTGTACCATTCATTAAATCCACCCGATTAAATTATCACGTAAAAATAAATGTTTTAAGCCATAATTTTGTATTTTGGAATGGTATTATTTATTAAAAGAGAGATCAATCACACCTTTGTTTGACTCTAAGCGGTGCGTAGTGTTGTAGACAGGGAGTATGATAGTGTTGGAATGAGGGAGGGAGCTCTGTCTTCCTGAAGATCCTGGTCTTCATTTCCCTCGCTGGATCCCTGCTGCATTCAGGAGATGTCGATAGAATGGGAAAATATATGCGTTAATATTCCAACTTGGGAGTGTTCACGCATTATCCCAAGATGTTAGTTCTAGTGCTAACCTTGTAGTACAACCAGATAAACAGTTTAAATTAGCTACTTTTGTTGTGTAACGTATCAAGTAAAACCAGATGCAAACAAACACTGTATAGCACACTGAATGAGTTATATAAATTGAATAGATTCTATTAAGAGATAATATTGGATTTTATTTTGATGTAACTAACATTTCAGCCATTCTGACAACAGTTTGTTGACATGAGTGTAGGTTTTTCACCAAGTGGAGGACATCGTCATTGTCAGAATCTGGCAAAAATGAAAAGCGGCTGGCGTCATCAGGTTTTCGTCCTCTGCTCTGTATTACGTGAACGCGCCAAACCCTGCTATGGCACTGTACGGTTATTTTAGGATAATTACATTGATCGAGGAGAAACAATGGTTTCTTTTGAAATATTGCATTTATAAGCCTTCACACTCGTATACTGTCAAGAAAAAATAATGTCTAAACCATCAGCTACTGATTTAGGCTAGCTGCATTCTATAAAATACATAAGTAGTATCATCAAAATTGTTAAAGTACCAAAAGTAAAAGAGGATATGCTGGATTCTTGGTTTATAATCAAGCTACTAATGCATTAATGTGCAAGCATCACTAATAATACAGCTGATATGGTGGAGCTAATTTTACTTATTCTGTATATTTATATATACAGCAGCTTAATCTTTATGTAAAGTATACAATACAGATGAGTATAGCCTACCCCCAGCCTCTAAAATGTTAAATTATTCAAAATTGTACCAGTTTATAATGATTGTATTATTTTAATATTTTATTTTTTATTTGAAGTGTAGGGTATTGGATCTTGTCTATAATTAAAAACAAAAAGGTTATATATATATATATATATATTACATTGAAAGGCCCCAAAGTAAAACCTCAATGCAAGAAAAATGAGTACACTTGTGACCACTGCAACAATGTCAACAAAGAAAGCTCCTCCAGCAAGGAGCAGCTGAAAATAATTATCTGTGAAGAATGGCAGAACATCTCTCCACAGATTATATTATTATATTATCTTATTATTAATTGTATTCATTCTTCTTCTTTTTTGCCTAAAACAAATAGGCTAAAATTGCATCACATGGACAGGATATGTTATTACCTAATAATTTAGTGATATTGACCAGGGGTCTACTCATATTTGTTGTATATTTTATTAGTTTATTATCCTTAATATTATTAATATGAATATGTAAAGTATAGCAACTAAGGCTATCAAATAGGCTAAATGTGGGGTGATAAGTAGGCTCCAATGCCTCTGAAATGCAGCTATTAGACTAGAGTAGAAGAATAAAGTGGCAGAAAATAGAAATATTAAAGTAAAAGTACAGGTACCTCAAATTGTTAGTACAGTAGCCTACTTGAACAAATGTATTTTTCATTTCACTTTACATTTCACCACTGCACCTATGCTCTTGTTTAATGCTGCCAATATTGCAATTAGTAGTAGTAGTGGTAATAATAATGATAATGTCAATGATAATAATAAAAATGACAATAAAACGAGACAATAAAGACAATAAAATGCAAAAATAACGTTTTATTATAACAAACATGACGTAGTATTTAACATCAAGTGAACATTCTTCAATCGAATAAGAAAACTGATCAGTGCTTCAGTGTCACCAACAGCTGTATAGCAGCTCTGACAATTGATAACAGCAGAGAAAAGAAATAAATAACAGTTAGGCCTACACATGAATATGCCTATTCAAAATGATAAAAAAAAAATAAAAATAAAAATGGAGGTACAAAAAAGTTGGTTTGTCTGGTTGTTTATTTGGTTACAAAATAAGACATAAACTGAGCCTCAGACTTAAATCAACTGTCAAATCAACTGCAGCAGTTCACACTTGACCGGTGCCAATTTTTGACAGAGCTTTGACAGTGGGCTAATACCGGAAAGTGTAGCCTGCCAAAAAAAAAATTAACCAAAAACGTAGGCTATTAAGCAGTTTCACATAGTCAATACATTTACACCTCGTCAAACAATTAAGCCTACCTGAACCTGACAAACGAACTGACAGCCAAACTGAAATGGTGAAGCATGAACTTTTAGTCTGTGAACCAGCTGCCAGTGGTTAGAATAACTCAAAATTCTACTGGTCAAATGAATAAGCAAGCTGCGCCTGCGACTCCCTCGCATAAGAGGTAAACTGCTGGTAGTTGCATGCCACAGAAACTGTGCCTCCGTCGGGGCTCATCGGCTGGGTCACTCCGCCGTAGGGACACCCGTTGTGAGGGACCAGGACGGACAGGTGGCGGTGGTAAGCGCCGTAGGAAGGGTGGTGGAAGTGGGCGGGTGGGCAGTATGAGTTCATCGGGCCGCTGGGGGACAAGCTGCGGGTGTGTCCAGTGATGACCTGGGGTGATGGGTATCCAGTCTGCTGGGACGAGCTGGGCTGAGACTGGCACAGACCCCAGGAGCTGCTCACGTAAGGCTGCAGGTAGAGCGGCTCGGGATACTCAGGGTTACCGCTCAGGTAAGGCACGCTCGGTGGTCTGTAGGGTCTCCTCACCCTCCTCCGCCGCCGGTAGTTCCCCCGCTCAAACATGTCCTCAAAAGCGGGGTCCAGCATCCAATAGTTGCCCTTCCTGTCCCCTCCGCTCTCCCTGCGCACCTTGACGAAACACTCATTGAGAGAAAGATTGTGTCTTATACTATTTTGCCATCCTTTCTTATTCTTCTCATAGTAGGGGAAGTTGGAGATTATGTAGTCATAAATCCCACTCAGCGTCTGTCTCTTGTCATGGCTGTCCTTAATGGCCATGGCGATAAGAGCCACGTAGGAATACGGCGGCTTCTCCAGCTGCCCGGGCTCTTCCGTACCTTTGGGTTCAGGTGGGGGCAAGTTGGAGCTGATGTCGAGGAGCTGCGCTCCCTGGTCGGCGGGGGATTTCTCCTCTGCATCCATGGCTCAGGTATCCGCTTGTGCGTCCAGTTGGGGCAAAAAGCTGCAATCGCAATGATTGTGTCTGCAGGTGCACACACTCCTCCCACAGGTACAGCTGTTATCGCCTTCTTTCATCTCGCCGAGTTTCTCACACGGTTTATGCTTGTGTGGGACAAGTGTGCAGCTGCTGAGGTTGAAACAGGGGTCACACCACTGTGTTTTCAGAGTAATCAAAAATTTAGACTTCGCAGCGAGACGATCAAAGACCTTACATGCCCCCTGTCCTTACATAAACCGACATGATGGTTACTACGTATCATTTTTATAAATTGTCACATATACACACCGCGGTCTTTTGACCAATTTAAATCATTTTTACACGATGTTTAATTCAATATATATTTTTTGATAGTTTTTTAATCCTCTCTTGCATTGACAACACTGAAATTAAAAATCAGGAAATTTATAAACCCTGTCTATGTTAGGTTATGTATGCATGCAGATGTAAGATATTGTTTGATCACTTTTTAATGAGATGTTTTTCCTGAACTGTGAAAGAAACAACATGAATGCGCCCTCACATACATACACCAAAACCTCATGCATTGATTGGTAACCTACACACAGGTGCTTTTTTTTGTTGTTGTTTTTTACAGCTTCATACACTGTATCAACTCAGAGGCACATGATAGTTGGGTATTTCCAGCACTTGCAGGCATCAGAGCTCAGCATACCTCCCACATACAGTGGGGCATGAACAGCAGGCCTGTCTGTCCGCTGAGGATGGCAGATAATGATCACCTGCTCTCACCAGACAGTCTGTCTCCCCTGAACTGATAGGGAAACACAGATCTCAGAAAGTGAGCAACCAAAGCAACTACATGTTTGGCAAGGACTAGAGGGCATTTTGGATTGGCCATTGTTACCAGTGGAAGGGTATCTTATTAATTGAAGTTAGCGCAGGCAGTTATTCAGATCCGAGGGGAATGTCTTTATCATTACTTGCCTGAATAAAGTTTAGTACAATACAGAATTCAGGAGACCACTACTCTGTCTCCAAGTAGTTCATCAACTACATTTTTATGAAGAACCATTTCTCACACCCTGAGATACATATTTAAACTCAATGATCACATAATCCAGTAACATGAAACTTATCTTGCAAACCATCATATGGTTCTGTGTTTACTGCAACAACATGCGTCATGCTGTCAAACAGGGTGGAAACAAATCTCCTAATTTCGATGGAAAATATATTGATACTTAATTGTTGGACATGAAGGATCAGGTGGTGAATATCTTATCAACCGATTAAAGTCAATATAAAAACTAAAGGGAAGGAATATTTCAGGCCACCCTGTGAATACAGTCATTTGGCAGTGGAGAGTTTGTCTCATGCATGTGATCAAGCAATCGATCAATAACAGGATGTTCTTCTTTGTGTAAAGAACGTTGTTTTTAGAAAAATCCAGGCTGACTCTGGAGAAAATAATGTTCACACAGTGGACAGAAATGACTCCTGATAGACTCATATGTCTCATCAAACTTCCCTCTCTGATTTCTCAGTTTTTAAATAACTAATAAAATGAGGAAAGCTAGATTTACCTCCTGATGCCATGTGAGTGAAGTGAGGCGCCAGGCTACACAATCTGTGTAGTTTAAGATATCTGAGACGAAAGAAGAATGCAGCAAAACTGCCAAAAACAAAGCGCATGAATGCTGGATTTAGACAGTTAAATTAAGAGTTACAGCTCTCCAATTTCCTCAAATGGCCCTTGAGATAGGATATAACATTCAATATTCCTGTTAATCTGTTATTAATCTGCTATTGTTATTATTACAATAACTGGGAAGTTGAGAGGTTTTTGGAGATGTCTAACTATGATCATAAGATTGGTAACAATATGTGTTGAGAATTGAGAATTAGCTGAATATGTCTGAAGATCTTGTTCAGCATAAACCACTTTGTTAATGCCCTGAAACCCAATGACATAAAAATGAGAATCTAACAGGGATAATGTTAATATGAAGATAATCTGTAATTTTTTTAATTAAATGAATGGAGAATGTACTTCATCTTTATTATTACACAGTTAAATGCCTATTGTTACTGAAATAGTTTATCAAGATAATGGGAGGTACACAGTAACACTTTCTGCCCCATTAACTTTCATAAAGAAATACTTTACTTCTCTCTCTACATTTATCTGACAGCTTGACTTGGAAAACACATGGTATGTGTAAATGTTGTGCATAAAGCATCTAACAGCACCACAAACCAGAATTGTCATTGTAATATCACTTATACATTAATGCAGCACTAATTTAACAATCTAACAGGGGCCATTTTTTTAGCAACTACTTTCAAGGTGTATTGTACGGCGTATGGAGTATGGAGTATTTTTCCACTTTAGTATCACTACTTTTCAGAATACTTCTGCCTGCACAGGCTCTTGGCACGTTAGCAGCAGTCAGTATTTGCACTTGGAAGAAAAAACAACTTTTCAACTTGCTACAAGGAACTGCCCTGCAGTCATACCGTGAATACCTTTTATGCACAGATGGTGACTACAGAGCTGAACTAGTCCAGAACACCAACTCCTGTCAACAGATCAGGTGACTCAACACCTTCACTTCTCTTCTTCCTGCGTGCTGACATGAGTGGAAAGGTTGAAGGGTGCGTGTGCAGTACGAGGCTGAAAATGGTCCGATCCTGTTGAAGCAAGGATACTCTGATGTTTGGAAGTGTGATGAGTGATGCCCAGCTGCATTTAAAAAGAATCTACACAGATCACATGGATTGATTACTGTCCTCAATGCTTAACAATTAAGTTGTTTGTTACTTGTGGTGACTGCTTCAACTCTACAAATCAATTTTCTGTCAGCACAATATCTCTTGAGAGAGTTAGTTTGCTTTTGACCAATATTACATATTATTTCCTGTGTAGATCTTTTGCACAGCACACACTTCAACTCATCAAAACAGGAAAAGTATTTACAACACCTGCAACATCAGGTGGCTTTGCTGTATTCAGTTGTCCCTGACAGTAAGCCAGCATGCACAATACCACACATTAAAAAAATCTGTAATTTACTGTTTATTTTGCAGATTTTTTGCTCTATTTTTTAAAATACATGAAAATATCCATACAATTTCAATTTTTAAAAGAAAATTCATTTTTTTTCACATAAAAATACTGCTAAAAATGCATTGTAATTTCACAAGTATTTCTTTGAGATAAAAGTACTGACAACGGTAAAAGAAGTATTTGTTCTGTAATTTTACTGAGATTTGTTTGTTCATTTACAAATATCTTGTGTAATTATGAAAGTTTTCACAACAAAAATGTTGAATAAATGTGTTTTTGTCAAAGTATAACATGTATAAGCACTCGTCAAAATACAGTTTTTATCATTGAAAACAGCCATAATTACTGTAATTTCACAGATGGTGACTTGAAGCAACTAAACTGAATTCAGTCTTTTATTATTTACATATGAAATTTTTCTACTGTGATATTGTGTCAAAATCTCTCCAATAACCCTCAATCTCTCAGAAAAGACACAGAATACAGATACAATTAGATCAATTATATGGAGGGTTATTTGCGATGAGTGATTTCATTGTGATGATATCATGTTTAATTGTGAGGAAAGCAAATAGGAGTATGAAGTAATTTTCATCAGTGACTGTAATATCACAGTTTGCAATATGTGCAGGAAATAAACATGTTGTTCGACTGCAGCGGTGTGAGCGTGTATGAAATTTGAGTCTCCACTAGGACACCTGCAAAGCTGTGATCAGTGATAAAAGGAAATGACAGTATGTGTTGTGGCTTCTGTCTGAACACAAGCGCATGTAGCAGACCACAGCCGACTCCTCCACTTACAGTAGTCATTTCAGGCACCACTCCTAGACCTGCCTAATCCATGGATTACAATAAACCTGGCTTCCTTCTCTTAGTCACAGACCAGACAACATGCTTTATCTGGGCACTCACACAGACAAGAAATCAAAACAAGAAAGGCTGAGTAAAGAATTTTGAGGCACAAAAGGTTGCTTGCCACATGTCCCCCAACCATCCTAAACATGATAACATGATACTCAGTTTAGACAATGAGTGCAGGTAAGCACAGTTCACATGATAAACATGACACTTTTCTTTCACTTCTACTGACATTGCTTGTTGGTTGAATTCCCTTGATAGGTGTGGCTCTCTTTCGGGTTATAAGATATTCGAGTTCCCTGTTTAGTTCACTATGCCATTGACCCATGCCACCTCCCACAATGCATCCCTTTGTTGCGTTCTACATGACGGCCTGTCAACAAACCCTGTGCCAGTCTGGCCATGCAGCCCGCATCTCCGGTACACCGCTCCCAATTCCAACCTCCACATCTCTATTGTTTGCATAGTCTGCCAAAACTGAGGTTATCACACTCCCAATTCATAGAAGACGATAAATGTTAGTGTAGTGTGATTGCCATTTTCTCTAAGAAATAGCTATTCTCAATCATGGACAGATACTTGCTTTCATGGTGACGTGTTTAAAGTAAAAATAATATTGTTGCACCCAGCTATCAATTACCAAAACAAGTCCTGTGCCAAGATAAAGTCAACAGGGATTCCTCAGTGACAGATTGCATGCTGACAGCTTCTTTGTTACTGGAATGATCATCATCATCCACACAGAGGAGTTTTTAAGTTTAGTTTTTCAAATACTTAGTTCTCATCTAAAAAGACTTTTCAGCATCTTATCAAATAATTACTGGACAGAATCAAACTGTCGAGCTTCCTGTTTGACTTGTTTCCTCACTCCAGATAAACCTGCTGCCACATGTGTCCTTCATTTGAAGCTGTTATGCAAAGTTTTGCTACAATGCGCTCGCACTGATCTTTCCACAGAGCAGCTGGGAGAACTGAAGCTGATCTCAGATAGCAGTGAAGTTTGTGACATCTCACTGACAAATGATGTATATCTTACTCAAGTTAGCCTCTCCCAGTTGGCAAAAGAGCTGGTTATGTGACTGAGGTCAGATCACATTTGTATGATAA